ATGCAATTGCAAAATTTCATTAAAAAGATTCAACACAACAAGTGGCAATGCAAGAAATATGGATGTAGCACATAAACTGGACACAGGAATGTATATAACTCCTATGGTAAAAGTTTAAAATAAAATGCTTAAAGGATAAATTTCAAGTTAGGTCTGGAGAAATTAAAAAAAATTATATTGCACAAATCCTTAACTGCTACTAAAACAAGGATTTCTTAATTCACTGGAATTTAAATTTACCAATAACACTCTAGGAGAACAATTAAAATTCAATGAAATTACTGTAAGAAGCAGGAATGTTGAAATCACACAGGAAAACTGTGGGGAGTGCAGTACTGAACCAGCTCCAATATTTAACAAGTCACTGAATGGTTAATTCACAGGATATTATGGGAATTATTGCATAAGTCACTTTTTAACACTTGGCACGTTGTTCTCAACTAGCAATTACTTATCTCAGGGTTGTAATTTATGAGGATCACCAGTAGCCAAAGTAGGAGAAGCGTCGTGAAGATCTGAAGAGGCCCATGTGAGGCGTGTTTACAAACTGGATGCGACGGCAGCGCTCCTGGCGGCGGTGGCGCGAGACTCAGGGACCCCACACTGTTCAGGCTAGAGGCACGAAGATAAATTCTGACGACGACAATATTGCGACGATGGAATAACCAGTTGATACCTGCGACGATGGCTGACGACGATTGCAGTAGCTTGCACCCTCACGAAGCTTGATACTGTCAGCTTGGGTGGCGGTGGTGGTGGTGGTGGGTGTAATAGGTGGTTCCCACGTGGTGGCGCGAGGTTCAAAAATGGCTGGCGCGGGAAGCTTCCTTCCTCCTCACTGATGAGTGAGCGTTCTCACAGGAAAATATTGACCCTTACTTCTAAAAACGTTAGCCTGGAGTAGTGGTTGATGGCAGGACCCCGGTCTGGCACAATATTTGATGCGTGGGTGGCAGGATGGCGGCTTATGGCGGTGGCGGTGGCGGCGGTTTTGGCTGGAACACGAGGCGATGCTGGGTACTGGAACTTTTGCTTCCAGAAAAAAATTTCTGGATCCCACCGCTGCCACCAGTATTCGTTTGCCTTGTTCGGGTTGAATGTAGACACAGTAGTCGCTTCTGTATATATTTATTGAGTGAGGCAAACAGGTGTATAACTGGCCAGCCGAGGTCCACCTACTCTGGGTCTGTGAGGATAACTGAGGCTGCTGGGAGCATGCTTGATGCTCCTCTGTCTGGCATGACGTCAGAGGCCTACTTGCCTGTGATTGGTTACATTTCAACTGACAGAATTTGAGTATAACACATGTTCACCGCCTGCTCTACTACACCAGAGGCCATGTTCACCGCCTGCTCTACTACACCAGAGGCCATGTTCACCGCCTGCTCTACTACACCAGAGGCCATGTTCACCGTCTGCTCTACTACAACAGAGGCCATGTTCACCGCCTGCTCTACTACACCAGAGGCCATGTTCACCGCCTGCTCTACTACACCAGAGGCCATGTTCACCGCCTGCTCTACTACACCAGAGGCCATGTTCACCGCCTGCTCTACTACACCAGAGGCCATGTTCACCGTCTGCTCTACTACAACAGAGGCCATGTTTACCACCTGCTCTACTACACCAGAGGCCATGTTCACCGCCTGCTCTACTACACCAGAGGCCATGTTCACCGCCTGCTCTACTACACCAGAGGCCATGTTCACCGCCTGCTCTACTACACCAGAGGCCATGTTCACCGCCTGCTCTACTACACCAGAGGCCGTGTTCACCGTCTGCTCTACTACACCAGAGGCCGTGTTCACCACCTGCTCTACTACACCAGAGGCCGTGTTCACCGCCTGCTCTACTACAACAGAGGCCATGTTTACCACCTGCTCTACTACACCAGAGGCCATGTTCACCGTCTGCTCTACTACACCAGAGGCCATGTTCACCACCTGCTCTACTACACCAGAGGCCGTGTTCACCGCCTGCTCTACTACAACAGAGGCCATGTTTACCACCTGCTCTACTACACCAGAGGCCATGTTCACCGCCTGCTCTACTACACCAGAGGCCATGTTCACCGCCTGCTCTACTACACCAGAGGCCATGTTCACCGCCTGCTCTACTACACCAGAGGCCATGTTCACCGCCTGCTCTACTACAACAGAGGCCGTGTTCACCACCTGCTCTACTACAACAGAGGCCGTGTTCACCACCTGCTCTACTACACCAGAGGCCGTGTTCACCGCCTGCTCTACTACACCAGAGGCCGTGTTCACCGTCTGCTCTACTACACCAGAGGCCGTGTTCACCACCTGCTCTACTACACCAGAGGCCGTGTTCACCGTCTGCTCTACTACAACAGAGGCCGTGTTCACCACCTGCTCTACTACAACAGAGGCCGTGTTCACCGCCTGCTCTACTACACCAGAGGCCGTGTTCACCGCCTGCTCTACTACACCAGAGGCCATGTTCACCGCCTGCTCTACTACACCAGAGGCCATGTTCACCGCCTGCTCTACTACAACAGAGGCCATTTTTACCACCTGCTCTACTACACCAGAGGCCATGCTCACCGCCTGCTCTACTACAACAGAGGCCAACCCTACACCAGCCACTCCTGTCAACCCGACCCCGGCAAACGCCAGCACTTCGACGGCTCCTCAACCGATCTCAACACCTGCTGAACCATCAATTGTCATCGTACCTGCAAGTCAACCATCACCAATCTCACAAAAGTCTGACCCAGCCCTGACGACAGCAAAGGCAGCTGAAAACACAGACGGAGCAGCAAGCCCGCTATCTTTCAATTTGTGTGGGACAAAAGGGAAATTATTCAACCCTTATATGTCCCTCAGGTTGCAAACATCAAATCAACACCCCAGAGTGGCGGAATTTCAAGTACCAGTGCGGGACCAAATCTTAGAAAACTCAAATGAACTTCTCTACTCAGCCTACGACCAAGTCTCGTTCAGAGAAGTGGCCTCAGAAGGCCTGTCTAACCCCAGGAGATTCTTAATCTACAACATCTGGAACCCGGCCGCGCCACTGGACGTCATCGATGTGGTTGACCGGACGATCACACACAAAGAAGCAGACGGCATCGAGACTGTAACCCACGTAGACAAGAAAAGCTTAAGACAAACAATATGCAGTCGTGTATGGCGCCCTCCTGAAGGTGAAGTCAACATACCATCAATAGTGAAAGAAGCACCAAACAGAAAGACGAAATGACCCTAAACAAGCCAACTGCAGAACTGTGACCAACTGAAGGCAGCTGCCTTCTTCCCCCACTTTAGGGGGATGGGGATCTGATTTTGCTCGTTTTGAGGTGGTGGAATCCCTGCAAGCTTCAGAACAGACCGACGTGGAAGACAGAAGACAGAAGACTCCAGCTTCAAAGAAGAAAGAAGACTTCAGCCTCAAAGAAGAAAGAAAACTCCACACATCAAGAGGAAAGAGAACCTCACATCGCCGCCCCTCCCTCGGGACCCTGAAGGTGTTCAGGAAGCCTCATTTACGCCTCGCAGCTGGGTCTAGCCCTGGCTCTGTCTCTCCAACTCCGACGTTTCCTCTCATCCAGGCTATTCTTCAACTATACCCACTTCAACGCTCACCCCAATGGGTACCTTGTCCTATATTTAGTTCGTTCATCGTTCCAACACACAGGCAACTGCAGTTCAGACCTCCAGCACACCAACCAACCAATCAGCGGCCCCGAGCGCCGCCATCCTGATCCCTCTACTGACTAGTCTTCTACGAAGCTGGCAGGAACAGACGTCACCAAGTATGTAACTGTACTCAAAAGACTACTAGAAGCAAATAGTCTACCCAAGATGTCGGTCCCAGAGGTACTTTTATCGGCTTCACAAGTTACCTCAACTCAACCAGAACAAACCCCAACATCAGCAGCAACCGAAGCAATGATACCAACGCCTCCCCCAGTGGCGGATCCGACAACGGTGTTAGCAGCACCAGTGACCCAGGCACCAACCACCACCCGGACCAACTCCACCCCAGACCGGACAGCCCAGCAACCAATGGAAGCCTCGACGCCCTTCGCCAACAGGCGAGTGATACCGGCAAAAAAGAAACTAAATAATCACCAATCGACTGAAACAATAACAAAGCCAATAAATGATCCAGACACCGAGGACCTTGAAATCACCTACACGGAAACTGAATTTGATGTGAAGCCACGCACTTCAGATAAGAGTACATCCTGTTATTGTCTCTTCCTCGACGAAAGTATTGAATTCAACGGCAACAGCAGAACAATAACTTGGCCTTAGCATCCAACCGAATCATCGCCAACAAGAACTTTGACAATTCCCTAACCGCATGTTTGTCCACCGCCAGACCGTGGAGGGATTCGTGGACCTCTCCATCCTGAAGAAAGAGTACGTCGACCCGAGATTCAATTTCAAGGTGGGACAACACTCCTTCGACGACGGACTCGAAGACCCGGAAGGACCTCCTACACCAAAGTTGGCGTGTGGACTATTCATGCAAACTTTCTTCGACGCGGCATCACCAAACGACAGCTAAAAGAACGCTCATTAACGCAATAGGGTATACGCCTCCTCCAAGTCAGACAGAATATCCCACCTAAACCAGAATAACACCAAACCGCCTCACCACTCGCCTCCCGCCGCTGAAAAGAACTCAAACACCAAGCCAAGACCGAAAACATGATGCCAACCCAAGGTGGACCGCCACCGAGCACTCAAGCCTCTTCTCTCCACATCCAAATCCTCTTCCAAAAATTTCACCGCCCCCCTATCCTTTTTCCACCCACCATCCGTTCCAAGTTTTTTTGAATAGAAAGTTGAAAAGTTGGTGTGTTAGGGATCATTAAGTCATCAAGTTTCCAGACTTAGAATAATGATGTATTAGGGACATTTAAGTGATAAATTTTCCTGACTTTGTATTATGGTGTGTTAGGAGCGACTGAATCAGTCAGGAGGTAAGTTAGGAGCCACGTACTAAGTTACCATCTTGGGGGCCAGGCAGGAGAGAGCCGGGAGAGACGAGGTCGCCGCCCTCCTGACGCTGTTGACCCTTGACCTCCCGCAACCCAACCTCTACCTCCTCCACGACCAGTCCTTCCTCGGTAAGTACACTGGCCAGTCCTTCCTCGGTAAGTACACTGGCCAGTCCTTCCTCGGTAAGTACACTGGCCAGTCCTTCCTCGGTAAGTACACTGGCCAGTCCTTCCTCGGTAAGTACACTGGCCAGTCCTTCCTCGGTAAGTACACTGACCAGTCCTTCCTCGGTAAGTACACTGACCAGTCCTTCCTCGGTAAGTACACTGGCCAGTCCTTCCTCGGTAAGTACACTGGCCAGTCCTTCCTCGGTAAGTACACTGACCAGTCCTTCCTCGGTAAGTACACTGACCAGTCCTTCCTCGGTAAGTACACTGACCAGTCCTTCCTCGGTAAGTACACTGACCAGTCCTTCCTCGGTAAGTACACTGACCAGTCCTTCCTCGGTAAGTACACTGGCCAGTCCTTCCTCGGTAAGTACACTGACCAGCCCTTCCTCGGTAAGTACACTGGCCAGTCCTTCCTCGGTAAGTACACTGACCAGTCCTTCCTCGGTAAGTACACTGGCCAGTCCTTCATGGATCCTGGTAGTGAAGGTGATAAAGAGGACCCTGGTAGTGTCAGGTGAGAGTGGGACAGAGGGTCACTATACCTGGCCTCACACCCTGAAGGGTAACTGGTTGAAGGCACTCCAACAGTTCTGGTCCCCCGGGGGGGGGGGGCTCTCTTTACCATATTAATAAATGACTCTGAGACACCACTATAAATGTTGTGAGGCGCCGAGTGTAAGTGTAATAGATGTTAATGTTTACATTGTGACGGAGAGTGTAATAGATGTTAATGTTTATATTGTGACGGCGGCGCTGTACTCCGGCGTGGACGACCTCCAGGCGCGGAGGAGGTGTTGGGAGGCTTCCAGCAGGCCTCAGGGAGGCCCGTGACGGTGCTGAGGCTCTTCCAGGGGCACGACTCCCAGGGGCACGACTCCCAGGGGCACGACGACCTCTCCCTGCTGCAAGAGGCTCTCACCCTCCCACAGACGCACTCAGGCTTCAAGCACTTCCTTGTCCTCTGCTCGCTCAAACACACTCTCAGTGTCTTCCAATATGTAAGTAAAAAACACGCTGTCTGCCAATATGAGAAAGAGAGAGATCAGCTATATTATTACACAACAGTCCCAACTTACCTTCTATCTCTGCCTCAACTTACTACAGGTGCGGGAGAAGCAGCTGGAGTCCCCGAGGCTGTGGTGGCTGGTGGTGGTGGTGGAACCTGAAGCACCAGACACCCTGCAGCACCAGCTGTGGGAGGGATCACTGGTGAGTGGTGGTGGTGGTGGTGGTGGTGGTGGTAGTGTGGTAGTGGTGGTGGTGGTGGTGGTGGTGGTCGAGAATGGTGGAGCGTCTGACTGTGTGACGAAGAGTCATCATGGATTTAGAAATGGAAAGTCGTGCCTGACAACCCTGACTGAGTTTTCTGACAGGGTTACTAAACTAATGCAGAAAAAAAATCCTAGATTCTCAAAAGCGCAGTTTCTTATGAAAGGCTTTTACTCAAGACGGAGCAGCAGGCTGTTGTACAGGATAGAGAAGCAGGCTGTTGTACAGGATGGAGAAGCAGGCTGTTGTACAGGATGGAGAAGCAGGCTGTTGTACAGGATGGAGAAGCAGGCTGTTGTACAGGATGGAGAAGCAGGCTGTTGTACAGGATGGAGAAGCAGGCTGTTGTACAGGATGGAGAAGCAGGCTGTTGTACAGGATGGAGAAGCAGGCTGTTGTACAGGATGGAGAAGCAGGCTGTTGTACAGGATGGAGAAGCAGGCTGTTGTACAGGATGGAGAGAAGCAGGCTGTTGTACAGGATGGAGAAGCAGGCTGTTGTACAGGATGGAGAAGCAGGCTGTTGTACAGGATGGAGAAGCAGGCTGTTGTACAGGATGGAGAAGCAGGCTGTTGTACAGGATGGAGAAGCAGGCTGTTGTACAGGATGGAGAAGCAGGCTGTTGTACAGGATGGAGAGAAGCAGGCTGTTGTACAGGATGGAGAAGCAGGCTGTTGTACAGGATGGAGAAGCAGGCTGTTGTACTGTTGTACAGGATGGAGAAGCAGGCTGTTGTACAGGATGGAGAAGCAGGCTGTTGTACAGGATGGAGAAGCAGGCTGTTGTACAGGATGGAGAAGCAGGCTGTTGTACAGGATGGAGAAGCAGGCTGTTGTACAGGATGGAGAAGCAGGCTGTTGTACAGGATGGAGAAGCAGGCTGTTGTACAGGATGGAGAAGCAGGCTGTTGTACAGGATGGAGAAGCAGGGTGTTGTACAGGATGGAGAAGCAGGCTGTTGTACAGGATGGAGAAGCAGGCTGTTGTACAGGATGGAGAAGCAGGCTGTTGTACAGGATGGAGAAGCAGGCTGTTGTACAGGATGGAGAAGCAGGCTGTTGTACAGGATGGAGAAGCAGGCTGTTGTACAGGATGGAGAAGCAGGCTGTTGTACAGGATGGAGAAGCAGGCTGTTGTACAGGATGGAGAAGCAGGCTGTTGTACAGGATGGAGAAGCAGGCTGTTGTACAGGATGGAGAAGCAGGCTGTTGTACAGGATGGAGAAGCAGGCTGTTGTACAGGATGGAGAAGCAGGCTGTTGTACAGGATGGAGAAGCAGGCTGTTGTACAGGATGGAGAAGCAGGCTGTTGTACAGGATGGAGAAGCAGGCTGTTGTACAGGATGGAGAAGCAGGCTGTTGTACAGGATGGAGAAGCAGGCTGGTATAACTGAGAAAACACGGGACTGGGTAAAAGAGTATCTGCAGGACAGAAAACAAAGAGTCACAGCCGGAGGGAAGGTTTCCATCTGGAGGAATGTAACAAGTGGTGTCCTACAATACTCGGTCCTGGGACCACTACTGTTCTTAATATATGTGAACGACCTACCCTAGGGAGTGAGCTCGTACGTGTCAATGTCTGCAGATGACACAAAGCTGATGAGAAATATAAAAACAGAGAACTGCAGGAAGTTACAGGAGGACCTAGACAGTCTCCAGGACTGGTCAAACAAATGGTTGCTGGAATTCAATCCCAACAAAAAGCAAAGTATCGTCCTAAACGGAAATGAATCTGACTGAGAAATGTGGTGAGCTGGGTACTGCAAGGTGCCATTTTGGTGCCAACCCTTTTTGTCATATACATTAATGCCTTATATGAGAATATTACAAACCACATCATAAAATATGACGATGACACTAACACTTATGGTAAAGTATGAAGTGGCAGTAATATTAAGGCCTTACAAAGCTATCTGTATGAAGGTCATAAATGGTCAGAAGAATGGCAAATGCTTTTTAACATAAACAAAATACAAGCCCCCTTGTATGTGGGGCACAACAGAGCACTACACAGCTCCCAAATCAACAACATTACCTTGCAGCATCGGGCTCACCATAGCCCGTGCTACATGGAACTTTGTTCTAGGTAGCGAATCTTTAACAACAACAACAACCTTGCAGCAGATTAACGAAGAAATGAACCTTCCAGTAAGACTTCACCATTCACTGAACAATGCACAAGTGTGAGCTGGGGTAACAATATGCAAACCAAATCCTTGGAATAATCAAACAACATTTTGACTTCAAGGAAAAGAAGGTACTTGAACAGCTACATGTATCTTTGGTGTCCCTCACCTGGATTATTATATCCAAGCTTGCCGGCCTCATCTCTAGAAAGACATAACTGTTCTGGAGAAACTTCAAGGCCTGGCGAGTAAAGTCATTCCAGAGCCAGTCAACTCTCCTACCAGGAACGGTTGAGGGCCACAAGACTAACAACACAGCAAACCAGACATGACAGGGCTGATCTTGTCGAAACTTATAACATACTGAACAATTTGGAGGATGTTTATCTAGACAACTTCTTCACACCATCAGATGTAATACGAAGAAGGAGCAACAGTTTCAAGCTCAACAAGACACAAACAAGGCAGATAAAGATAGACTATTTAGCACGGGTGGTACGCGAACAAGGGGACACAGGTGGAAACTGAGTACCCACATGAGCCACAGGGACGTTAGAAACACCTTTTTCAATGTCAGAGTAGTTAACAAATGGAATGCATTAGGCAATGATGTGGAGGAGGCTGACTCCATACACAGTTTGAAGTGTAGATATGATAGAGCCCAGTAGGCTCAGGAACCTGTACACCAGTTGATTGACGGTTGAGAGGCGGGACCAAAGAGCCGAAGCTCAACCCCCGCAAGCACAACTAGGTAAGTACAACTTGGTAAGTACAACGCAGGACGGAAAACAGGAGCTGCTTTTTCACCCATAGTTATAAACCCATGGAACCGCCTACATGCTCAAGCCATTAATGCCAAAACGCTGCTGAACTTCAAAATCCAGCTGGACCGAATCATCATGACAAATGGGGCACTTTCGACAAGCAGCCGGCTTCCTCGGCCGGCGAAGGTAGAAGCTCTCCCAGGCTTGGTAGGTCGCTAAGGAATGAGAAGAGGTCGGCGAGTCCTACACTTACTGCCAACATGTTCACTACGGTCGGAGTAGAGGGGGATGAGAGGGTCGCCTCACAGGCTACATGGGCGGTTGCTATATGTACCTTCCTGCCCCGGGCGTGGGCGGCTTCCCTAAGCATGTACCGCCCTCCACCCATGGGCCGTCCTCCACCCATGGGCCGCTCTCCGCCCATGGTCCGCCCTCCGCCCATGGTCCGCCCATGGGGGTGCCCTCCGCCCATGGGGCCGCCCTCCGCCCATGGGCCGCCCTCCACCCATGGCGCCGCCCTCCGCCCATGGGGCCGCCCTCCGCCCATGGGCCGCCCTCCACCCATGGGGCCGCCCTCCACCCATGGACCGCCCTCCACCCATGGGCCGTCCACCACCCATGGGCCGCTCTCCACCCATGGGGCCGCCCTCTACCCATGGGGCCGCCCTCTACCCATGGGGCCGCCCTCTGCCCACGGGCCGGCCTCCGCCCACGGGCCGCCCTCCGCCCATGGGGCCGCCCTCCGCCCATCAGGGCGCACTAGCTGCCTCACAGAACACTCCCGCCGGTGGGAAATTTAATGTGGTTCACCCACACCAATAATGACTAATAATAAAAGCCAAAATAAAGTGATCATCATAATAAGAGTAACAAGACATACAAATAACGACAGTAATTAAGCTTACCTTAAATGCGAACATATTTTATTAAAGCTCAGTATAGGTCCGTTGACTGGAGGAAGTCTTGTTTACTTTATGTGTTGTGTGTGTGAGACCTTCAGGCGACTGTCCGGTGTTGCAGGTGACGCTGGCGGTGAGGACCACACCCACCACCTACACCCTCATGACCTCCAGGGTGGCCGCCTCCTCTGGCCTCCCTAGGTAAGACCTCCTCCGGCCTCCCTAGGTAAGACCTCCTCCGGCCTCCTTAGGTAAGACCTCTTCTGGCCTCCTTAGATAAGACCACCTCCGGCCTCCCTAGGTAAGACCTCCTCCGGCATGACCTCTTCTGGCCTCCTTAGGTAAGACCTCCTCCGGCCTCTCTGGGTAAGACCACCTCCGGCCTCCCTAGGTAAGACCTCCTCCAGCCTGCCTAGGTAAGACCTCCTACTCAGAGAACACTGGGTAACAAAATAAAAAACTCTGCCGCTAGATAAAACGCAAAAGTCATCCACTGCCCCACGACAGAGCAGAAGCCAGCCGCCCAACATGGCTGAGGGCTGCACCAGGAGCCCATCAAGACCCACCAACTCCCGGCACCTCTCGGCCAAGCCGGCGCTCCGCCGGGAGAACCAGCCAGAACACGCTAAAACAAAAATATATCAACAATCCCGTGACTTAAGGCGATATTTGCGTCAGGCGTCGTACCAAGTAGACCGTTGAATAGGAATGCCAAACGGCAGTATCAAATAAAAAATCGCAAAACAGAACGTGATCCGGTGGCTCCCATGCGGAGGCGTCCAGACGTCCACTAGGCATCAAAGTTGAACCAGGAGTCCTCATGTTCTATATATTTTCTTCTCTTTTGCTTTGATTCACAAGTATATGATTTTGAATTTGAATATGATAAACATATTTATTGTTAGCCCTCAATTACATTTTCTTTAATTCAGTCCATGTATTACAATTTTTTTTACTTAATTCTAGCGATAACTATCTTGTTTTCGTTAAGTCTAGTGATTCCTTATACAGTAATATTTTTTGGTTCTGTTTTCCAAAGAAACAATTGTGTTAGTCTGAAGATTCATCATGACTGTAATTGTGTTAGCGTAAAGATTCATTATGGCTGCACTTGTACTCACCTAGTTGTGTTTGCGGGGGTTGAGCTCTGGCTCTTTGGTCCCGCCTCTCAACCGTCAATCAACAGGTGTACAGGTTCCTAAGCCTATTGGGCTCTATCATATCTAGATTTGAAACTGTGTATGGAGTCAGCCTCCACCACATCACTGCCTAGTGCATTCTATTTACTAACTACTCTGACACTGAAAACGTTCTTTCTAACGTCTCTGTGGCTCATTTGAACACTCAGCTTCCACCTGTGTCCCCTTGTGCATGTACCACCCGTGTTAAATAATCCATTCTTGTCTACCCTGTCAATTCCCCTGAGAATTTTGTATGTGATGATCATGTCTACCCGAGCTCTTCTGTCTTCCAGCGACGTGACTTGTGACCTGTAAAGACTTGTGTTAGCGTAAAGATTCATCATGGCTGCGCTTGTGTCATCGTAAAGATTCATCATGGCTACACTTGTGTCATCATATTCATCATGGCTGCACTTGTGTCATCATATTCATCATGGCTGTATTTAAGCTGTTCCATGTCCGTCCTACAATAACATCAACACATTCAGGTTGGAGGCCATCGGCACCTGGGAAGTGGGCCCAGGAGGCCCCAGAGGACACCTGACGGAGCCGCTCCTGCCGGACCCCAACACGCTCTACGGGAACATGGGCGGCCGTCAGCTGGTGGTGTCAGCCAATGCTGACTGGCCCTTCTTCGGCCTCAAGCCCCTTCCTGGCGGAGGCGTTCAACCGGACTCCGGCATCGATATCCAAATTATGAACACGTTGGGACAGTTTCTAAATTTTACGTGAGTATCCCTTCCTTCCGTCGTCTTGCAGCGGTTAAGACAAGAAGGGAAATATCCTCCAGCAGACTGTGTCCTCCTCCTGTAATTACGTGCAGCGTCCCAGACATAAAATCATGAATATTACGTTTTTCATTGTAGAGGACATAATACTTATAGGATTACTTAATACTTATGTTTGGCTCTGTTTACACTAACAAATCTTTCTTTGGTAAAGATTCATCATGGCTGCACTTGTGTCATCATATTCATCTTGGCTGCACTTGTGTTAGCGTAAAGATTCATCATGGCTGCACTTGTGTTAGCGTAAAGATTCATCATGGCTGCACTTGTGTTAGCGTAAAGATTCATCATGGCTGCACTTGTGTTAGTGTAAAGATTCATCATGGCTGCACTTGTGTTAGCGTAAAGATTCATCATGGCTGCACTTGTGTTAGCGTAAAGATTCATCATGGCTGCACTTGTATTAGCGTAAATATTCATCATGGCTGCACTTGTGTCATCATATTCATCATGGCTGCACTTGTGTCATCATATTCATCATGGCTGCACTTGTGTCATCATATTCATCATGGCTGCACTTGAGATTCATCATGGCTGCGCTTGTGTCATCGTAAAGATTCATCATGGCTACACTTGTGTCATCATATTCATCATGGCTGCACTTGTGTCATCATATTCATCATGGCTGTATTTAAGCTGTTCCATGTCCGTCCTACAATAACATCAACACATTCAGGTTGGAGGCCATCGGCACCTGGGAAGTGGGCCCAGGAGGCCCCAGAGGACACCTGACGGAGCCGCTCCTGCCGGACCCCAACACGCTCTACGGGAACATGGGCGGCCGTCAGCTGGTGGTGTCAGCCAATGCTGACTGGCCCTTCTTCGGCCTCAAGCCCCTTCCTGGCGGAGGCGTTCAACCGGACTCCGGCATCGATATCCAAATTATGAACACGTTGGGACAGTTTCTAAATTTTACGTGAGTATCCCTTCCTTCCGTCGTCTTGCAGCGGTTAAGACAAGAAGGGAAATATCCTCCAGCAGACTGTGTCCTCCTCCTCCTGTAGTATCCTCCAGCAGGCAACAGAGTACTGGCTGTGTCCTCCTCCTCCTGTAGTATCCTCCAGCAGGCAACAGAGTACTGGCTGTGTCCTCCTTCTCCTGTAGTATCCTCCAGCAGGCAACAGAGTACTGGCTGTGTCCTCCTTCTCCTGTAGTATCCTCCAGCAGGCAACAGAGTACTGGCTGTGTCCTCCTCCTCCTGTAGTATCCTCCAGCAGGCAACAGAGTACTGGCTGTGTCCTCCTTCTCCTGTAGTATCCTCCAGCAGGCAACAGAGTACTGGCTGTGTCCTCCTCCTGTAGTATCCTCCAGCAGGCAACAGAGTACTGGCTGTGTCCTCCTTCTCCTGTAGTATCCTCCAGCAGGCAACAGAGTACTGGCTGTGTCCTCCTCCTCCTGTAGTATCCTCCAGCAGGCAACAGAGTACTGGCTGTGTCCTCCTCCTCCTGTAGTATCCTCCAGCAGGCAACAGAGTACTGGCTGTGTCCTCCTCCTCCTGTAGTATCCTCCAGCAGGCAACAGAGTACTGGCTGTGTCCTCCTCTTCCTGTAGTATCCTCCAGCAGGCAACAGAGTACTGGCTGTGTCCTCCTCCTCCTGTAGTATCCTCCAGCAGGCAACAGAGTACTGGCTGTGTCCTCCTCCTCCTGTAGTATCCTCCAGCAGGCAACAGAGTACTGGCTGTGTCCTCCTCCTGTAGTATCCTCCAGCAGGCAACATAGAGTACTCTCCAGGCCCCACTAACCCTCTACTCCGATGTTCGACTGTTGTTCCTTTTATTCTTAGTGACCCCGTGCTATATTGTTATATTCTGTGTACTAAATGTTGGAAAAAACTCATCAGGAAAAATGAATAGGACCTATGACAAGCCGCCGGCTACCTCTCCGCGTGGAGGCCGCTGGAGGGGTGGCTGCTCTCTGGTGAATAACGCTGGCATCAACCCGCCCGGGATAATCTGGACGGACAACGTTGATGTAACACTGAACTTGAGATCATCCAACATCTATTAAACAGTGATACTTTAACGTGCGGTCTACCGCAGTCTCCGTAGTCTAAACTGTGTGATGACCTGACCTAACTACCGAGACCTCAGCTGATGTTGTGGGTTGGGTTGGGTTGGGTTATTTATTTATTTATTTTATTTATTTATGCATATACAAGAATGTACATAAGGAATGTGAGGATACAAATATGGTAATTACAGTCTTGTAAAGCCACTAGCACGCGCAGCGTTTCGGGCAGGTCCTTAATCTAAGAAAATTTTAAGGAGGTAAATACTTGCAAAATTTATAGACAAAAAAATGATAACAGATTACATGAAATGAAAAAAAAAGATGAGAGAAAATTGTAGGTACAGTATATTAAAGCACATAGGTAGCTAAGATTGATTGCAATGACAGCTTGAATGGTAGTTGACAACAAATTGGTAGGCACAATACAGCAGAAACAATATAAGATTGATTGCAATGACAGCTTGAATGGTAGTTGACAAAAATTGGTAGTCACAATACAGCATATGGCTAGCACATAAAAGAAGACAGCAATGAACACAATGATAAGGTTGTTTGATATTACATAAAAATTAGGAGATTGGGTAACACTACGTACAGAGCAAATTTAAAGCTCAGTGTAGGAAACTAAGAAGATGAAGTTAGGTACTTTTTGGTTTTGCTTTTAAATAAGGCAAAAGTTTTACAGTTTTTCAATTCACTAGGGAGTGAGTTCCATAGACTAGGTCCCTTAATTTGCATAGAGTGTTTACACAGATTAAGTTTGACCCTGGGGATATCAAAGAGATATTTATTTCTGGTGTGGTGATAATGGGTCCTATTACATCTGTCCAGGGAGAGTTTCAGAGCATGGTTTGCATTTAAGAACAGGGTTTTGTAAATGTAGTTGACACAAGAGAATGTGTGGAGGGAGTTAATATTTAGCAAGTTTAGGGATTTAAACAAGGGAGCTGAGTGTTGTCTGAAAGCAGAGTTAGTTATTATTCTGATAGCAGATTTTTGCTGTGTGATGATGGGCTTAAGGTGGTTTGCAGTGGTAGACCCCCATGCACAGATACCATAATTAAGATAGGGGTAGATTAGTGCATAATATAGTGAGAGGAGAGCAGAGTTAGGAACATAATATCTGATTTTGGAGAGTATACCAACTGTCTTAGAGACTTTCTTAGTTATGTGTTGAATGTGGGTGCTGAAGTTGAGTCTCTTGTCTAGGAATAGGCCAAGAAACTTGCCATCATTTTTATTACTGATGTTAATGTTCAGATTCAGATTCAGATTCAGATTCAGATGTTTATTCAGGTAAGGTATATACATACAAGTGATGTTACATTAATGGATTGATATATAGATAGAGCTAGAACATACAATGCCTAAAGCCACTATTACGCAATGCGTTTCGGGCAAGAAAAACATTAATATCTAGAACTTAATACTAATTGAGCATAAAGAATAAAAAGTGTTGAGAACAAATACAAATAAAGATAAAAAAAGGGGGAACATGACTGAAAAAGCAGCACAAATACAATAGGTTGACAAACAGTGTTGATTAAAAAAAAAAAGAAAATAACAGACATGGGTTGACAATAGAGGAGTGAGGTAGATTACAGGGAATTTATTAGGTAGTGTTTAGTTTTTATCTTAAACTGGTTGAGAGAGGTACAGTCTTTAACATGGCTGGGAAGGTCATTCCACATTCTGGGCCCCTTGATTTGCAGAGCATTTCTAGTTTGATTAAGACGTACTCTAGGAATATCAAAACTGTATTTATTTCTGGTGTGGTGCTCATGGGTTCTGTTACAACCTTCTATGAAGCTTTTAAGATCAGGATTGGCATTATAGTTTAGCGTTTTATATATGTATAATACACATGAGAGAATGTGCAGTGACTTAATATCTAACATATTCAGAGATTTGAGTAGGGGTACCGAGTGATGTCTGGGGCCAGAGTTGGATATTGTTCTAATAGCAGCTTTGTGTTGGGTAATTAGAGGACGTAAGTGATTTTGGGTAGTAGAACCCCAAGCACAAATACCATAGTTGAGATAAGGATAGATAAGGGAGTAATAGAGAGTCACCAGGGCAGGGCGTGGTACATAATATCTGATCTTAGAAAGAATGCCCACAGTTTTTGAAACTTTTTTTGATATATTTAGAATGTGTCCCTGGAAATTCAGCTTGTGGTCAATGAGAATGCCAAGGAATTTGCCATCTAATTTGTTACAAATTTGGGTATTGTTTATTTTGAGATTTATATGACTAGAGGATTTATTGCCAAACAGAATATAGAAAGTTTTGTCAATGTTAAGGGTGAGTTTGTTGGCAGTTAGCCAACTGCCATGTTGTCTATCTGTAGCTGAATTGCATTTGATGATTTGCTTCCAAATAAGATGTAGTAAGTCTTTTCGATGTTTAATGTTAGTTTGTTCGTTGACATCCATAAGTGGACTTTTTTTAATTCATTATTCACAACATTATTTAGTGTATGTGGGTTGAGGTTTGAGTAGATAAGGGTAGTATCGTCAGCAAACAATATAGGTTTGAGAATATTAGAGACATTAGGCAGATCGTTTATATATATAAGAAATAGAAGAGGTCCTAAGATGCTGCCCTGTGGCACTCCAATGGTAATTGGTAGAGTGGAAGAAGTTGTATCATTGATGGTTACATATTGGTGTCTGTCACTAAGATAGGATCGGATGTAGTCAAGGGCAAGGCCTCGGATTCCATAATGCTGGAATTTAAGTAAGAGGTAGTTGTGATTAACAGTATCAAAGGCTTTTCTTAGGTCAATGAAGAGTCCAATCGGAAACTCATTTTTGTCAAGGGCTGAGTAGATAATGTCAAGGAGACTAATGATTGCATCGTTGGTGCTCTTTTGGGACCGGAAGCCAAACTGGCAGGGGCTGAGTATGTCGAATTTTACGAGGTAGGAATAGAGCTGTTTGTAAATAATTTTTTCAAATATTTTTGATAGAATGGGTAGATTTGATATTGGTCTATAATTGTTTATGTCCGCCGGATTGCCTCCTTTATGGACTGGCGTTACTCTGCTTTTTTGAGGATATCAGGGAAGGTGTGATACTCTATAGATTTGTTGAACAGTAGTGCTATGGGTGGGGCAAGGGCATGGGAGGCTCTCTTGTACACAATGGACGGAATTTCACTGGTGTTCCCTGCCTTGGTTTTTAGAGAATGTATGATGGACACAACATCTGACGGGCTGATTGGTGAAAGGAGAAGAGAGTTTGGATAGCTGCCTGAGAGATATGTGTTAATATGTGTCTGAGTCTGTGGGATTTTACTGGCAAGATTAGCACCAACCGATGAAAAGAAACTATTAAATTCATTTGCCATTTCTAAATCAGTTGACGGTATATCCCCATCCTTGTAGAGTTTTATTTGGTTATGTGAGTGTTGTTTAGTTCCTTTAGGTTGAAGTAGACCTCACGCTAAAGTGTAAATGGTCAGGTAGACCGCACGTTAGTGGTAACGATTAAAACATATTCGAGCAGTGGTGAGGGCCACATCCAGACGGTCAATGGTGAGGGCCCCTTCCAGATGGGCAGTGGGGAGGGCCGCTTCCAGACGGCAGCGTGTTTGGGCTTACAAGATAGAAGACATGTGGGCCGGGTGCCCTATGAATACCTACTGTACATTCCCTCTCACTAATATTACACTGTCAGGTACCGTGTAGTGTCGCCCGCCGACGGCCAATGGGGAGGGCCGCTTCCAGACGGCAGCGTCTCTGGTTTGATAGGACAGGTGGCGCGCAGGGAGTCCCACCTCGCCATCTGCGAACTCACTATTACGGGTGACGCTTGATGTGATGTATTTGCTTGTATTACTGATTGAACTGATTACAGTGATTGTTTAGTACTGCAATTTAAGAAGATAATTTTCAACCTAAAATCATATATTGTGAAAATGACAGGACTACTTTAAATTAGCCTTAAGTGTGTATGGGTGCAATTTTCTGCATATGCATTTATTTGTGTGTATGTGTTTGTTTGTGTGTGTGTGTTTGAGAACACATACCAAGCCATAAACGTACAATATGCCGTCTAAATGATGACCCTGGCGCCTGACAGCGAACAGGGAGACAGTGGTGGACTTCACGACTCCATACTACCTGGAGACTGTCACTCTGGTGTCCCGGGCGCCTGCCGAGAAGAGCAGAGCTTTTGCTGTCTTCTCCACCTTCACCACAGAGGTGGGTGTCTACCTCTGCTGTGTTGGTGGGTGTCTACCTCTGCTGTGTTGGTGGGTGTCTACCTCTGCTGTGTTGGTGGGTGTCTACCTCTGCTGTGTTGGTGGGTGTCTACCTCTGCTGTGTTGGTGGGAGTCTACCAAAATATATTAAGAATATTTTGCAGTGGAAGGCGTGAGTCTGGGGTCTGGTTACGCGACCCTTGACAACATGCTCTCGTCACTGGTTCACAGTGGACACTGAGGGATGTGGAGGCCTCCACCTCAAGGCTTCAGCGAGTCATCAGAGACTGCTTGTCAACTTGAGGCTAAGGTTATACATCATTTGACTTCTACTTACATAACCCAGATATGAAAGCACCAATAGATGCTCGTAGAAGAATGAAAATAGTTTTTTTCCCGCTCAATGGCGCAATTCCCAGCACGAGGGTTAAGATTACAATGTACCTCAGTTTCTAGCTGTAAGTGATCTCTGTGTATACACACTGCCCTAATTTTTGGGGGTACTATAATCAACTGGTTATGGGCAGTTGTTATCCCATGACTTCGATAACCATCAATACAGGCTTCCTCTCCGTGACCACAAGAATTATAAAGCCAATCCCGTGGAAATTGACGCCCTTGATTGTCCTAGTAATAATGCAGTAGTCCTTATATCTACTGTATTCTATCATAACACTATAACATGCTATCATTATCATTTTAACATGCAACAAAAATAATGTTGTATTTCTATAACTATCGGGCAAAGGTTTGGGTGTGCATCCTGGCGTCAACAGTGGCTGTTGGACCATTGGTGAGCGTGGTGGGGCGTGTTGTGGCTCTCTATACTGAGCGTCCTCCCCATCGACAGCTGCCAGAGTATTCCTTCCATGTGTTCCGTAGTCTGGTGTCTCAGGGCAACCTCCTCCGACCCTCAAACTGGCCACACAGGCTTCTCTTCTTCTGCTGGTACCTCTTCTGCTTCTACATCTATGGTAGGTGTTTGATGCTCTGGTGTCAAGTGTGTATATCTCTCCGATCTTTTATATGAATGAAATTAAATACTGTATTCTTAAGATTTGTATTATATTTGATATGAGTTGAGGCACTGTAGGTGTTTTGAAGTCTGTATCAGATAGAAAGAACTGAAGTAGCAATTTTGGAAGTATGGGTAGTGACCTGTACTCTGAAGAACCCTGATCTACAGTGACCTTCATCTTGCAGCACTGTACTCGGGCACCTTGACGGCTGTGCTGGCCTCACCCACCTATGAGAAGCCCATTGATGGACTGGTAGACCTGCCCAAGGCGGCGGCAGAAGGCTACACCATTGGTACCACCAGTGACTCCAGCCTCGAATTTATCTTCAAGGTCAGCCACTTTCTCACTTAAGCTGCTCTTACTATTACTGTTGGAATAATGTGGGGATTTGAGGACTTTGACAAGCCGCCCTGAGGGCTTCATGTCCGTGTCGAGGTCACTATAGAGATGGTGGCCCCTAAGGGCTTCCTACCCCGTTGAGGTCACTAAAATAATGGCTCTCAGGTAAATTCAAGTAATGTTAGAATTAATACTAACACTAATCTAAGGCAGCAACAGAGAACTCTGCTGCTACCAGTCTTGGCTTATATGAGCGTAGGTCAGTGCTGAAAACACAACAGGTCTCTATGGGGTTTTATATGTAATCATCTATACGTGTTTGTAAGGTAACCATAAGCTCCTGGGCTCCTCCTGGGACACGCGTGCTTGGTGTGACACTGTTGTGACACCTTGGGGTCATGACACTATTGTGACACCTTGGGGTCATGACACTATTGTGACACCTTGGGGTCATGACACTATTGTGACACCTTGGGGTCATGATACTATTGTGACACCTTGGGTCATCACACTATTGTGACACCTTGGGGTCATGACACTATTGTGACACCTTGGGGTCATGACACTATTGTGACACCTTAGGGTCATGACACTATTGTGACACCTTGGGGTCATGACACTATTGTGACACCTTGGGGTCATGACACTGTTGTGACACCTTAGGGTCATGACACTGTTGTGACACCTTAGGGTCATGACACTGTTGTGACACCTTAGGGTCATGACACTGTTGTGACATCTTAGGGTCATGACACTGGTGTGACACGTGAAGGTGAGGACAAGTGTGTCAATACGGGTACACTGTTGCAGGAGGCGACGGAGGGCATCTACAAGCAGGTGTGGCAGCTGTTCAACCACAAGGACCGCTCCAAGAGCTTCTTCAGGAGCCCCGAACAGGGCTTTGCTAAGGTATATTGTCATGTTGATGTTGCTCGTGTGTTGCATGTAGGTGTGTCCATGACTATAGTTTAGAAATGTCAGATTGTTACCACGACTATAATTATGAAGCAATACATGTAGCCGTGCAGTGCCGTGCACGAGATAAGCAGTGACGTGCCCTGCAGATCCTGGTGGAGAAGATAGTGGTGGTCAACGCCCAGCTCAACTCCGAGGTGCGGGCTGCCCAGCACGGCCGAGAGAGCTACCACATGGCCCGCAACACCTTCTACCCCCAGGCTTATGGCATCGCCTGCAACAAAGGCTCTCCTTTCCTTCCCAAATTTAACCAAATGTGAGTGGTTTCCATATTATATGTGGGGTACCCAGCGGTGGTGCCCGGGGCGACCTTGTGCCAGGCTCCTCCCACACATCCCGTCCCCTCTCCCTGTCTTCCATAAACACACCCCCTTCCCATCTAATCCTCGACCCCACACATATCCTCCCCATGTGCCCACATACATTCTCCCAGCCTCCTTCCACACTCACCCATCCTCCTCCACACCCCCTACACTCACAAACCCCTCAACACACCTTCCCACTCTTGCCACAACACTTATCATTTTCATAACACTGCCCTCATCAGTGTTGATGTGGACGGTGTTGTTCTCATCTTCACACCTAATGCGATGGTGTGATGGTAAATCCTCCTCTTCACACCACACCCGTCTCCACCCACACATACTCTTCCTACACCCCCTATCACTGTGACCAGTTTCACTACACACTACATCACTATAACCTAAAGGTTATGGCCAGAACACAAATCTGTCATCTGACCATTCGTTTTACACATCAATATCTGAATACACGATTATTTCAACAAATGGTAAACTCTAGAGACTTTTTGGTACATATTTTATCTCTACAGAATTCGTGAAGGCTGAGTCCCCTTCAAGGGGAACATAGGGGCCGACCGGGCCATCCTATGAGGCTCTCCATAACATCAATTGCCATGCACAGTTGCATGAGGCTAGCTCCAAGTGTCTGGCTTCCAACCTTGGACAAACAGAAAGACCATCTTTGATATAGATAGGGGTGGGGGGTGGGGGGGGGGGGGGTAGTGCCCCGGGTCAACCCCCTAAAGGTTGCACCAACTGAAGTGTTGGGAGCTAAGAATGCAAATCTGTCATCAGAACATGCAGTTTGTATATTTCATATCTGAATTCTGAAATATTATGACAAATTTGTGAAACTTATTATTGTGGTACTTAACGTTTCATCTTCACTGACTTCATGGACAGTCTTACATTCTTGTATATGCATAAATAAATAAAAAAAAAATAAATAAATGGAAAGTTGCCAAGGGGGGCCAACTCCAACCTGCCTATATTCCCCTCCCTCGCCCCACAAACTCACCAGTCACCATGAGAAGTTTAATGAGATTAGCCCCAAGCATCTGGCCTTCAACCTTGGAGAGAAAAACAGGTCCTATTTTACAGACATAGATACAGAAGGAAAGAAGGAATTATCAGGAAAAAGTGCCAAGCCATTGTGACTATATAGCACTTGGAAGGGGTCAGGACAAGGATTTGGGATGGGACGGGGGGAAAGGGGGACGGACAAGGAATGGTGCCCAACCACTTGAAAGACATTCGGGGATTGAACGCCGACCTGCATGAAGCAAGACTGTTGCTCTACTGTCCAGCCCAGGTAGGTGGTTGGGCGACATTGATACAGAGTGCAAGAAAACTCCAAGTCTCCCATACTATACACAAGGTATAACAAAAGTCTGTTAATGAGGAGATAAAAGTTAATAAATAAAAATTACATCAAACTAATAAATATAATGTTTTTGTGAACAGCTCTCCTCTTTTAATTAAGTTTTTATTAGCTTTTTGTTTCCATAATAGTTTATAATTTACTTGGTACCTTCACCCCTTGATAAACTTGATCAACTGCAGCCATATTGACATAAAAATTGTCAACCACCATAAACGTGGATAATAACATTTCATTCACTTGGGCACTAGGAGCCTTGAACCACAGTCCCCAGGAGCGGGGGACAGTAGCTCTATCAACCACACTATGAACAAGCCACTATAAGAGAGGGTCCCAGAGATACACACCACTGGTATCCAACTGAGACTTTCAACCTCTCCAGGGCTGTCACTAGAGCATGGATGAATTAGGTAATCCATGCCCATCTTATATATAATTTATAAATCATATAAATTTACATGGTGTGGGACATGGAATTACCTAATTCCATCATGCTCTAATGACACCCCAATTGAGGTTGAAAGGCCCAGTTGGATAGTTGAAATGGAGTTCCTGGGAATCTCTTAAAGTGGTTTGTTTGTAGTGTGATTGATAGAGCTACTGTCTCCTGCTCCTGGGGGGTCAGTGGTTCGAGGCTCTTAGTGCCCAAGTGAATGAAATATTTGGCATAAGATTAAGGGGTCTCTAAATCAACATAAGACAAATGGGCCTTCTCACCATATCAGGCTGAGACGAATAACAGAAGCTGGGCTCATCATGCGATGGAAGGAGCAGGAGATAAGCAAGATCTCTGGCAGGTCTCCCTCACGAAGGGGCCTTTCCTCGGACAGGGGGCCTTCAGCCATCACAATGAAACATCTACAAGTAAGTATGATGCTACCATATTGCAGCCCTGAACCCTCACTTTCTTGAACCCATTTTGTTGGTTGGTCACTGTTACTTTGGCATCACACCGTTACGCTGATTGGCATCAAATCTATATTATGGCCTAAGGCTGTTACTTGGGCATCAGGCTTGAGGCCCGTGCAGCTATATCCCTGAAAAACAATAAAACCTGCTCAAGGCCAAAATATGCTATTCTAGATCTAATATACGTAATATGAGGTGTAATTTGAATACATTTATTTAGCCCAGGAAAGGTTAGATTTGGTTGTTGCTTTGTTGAGCCCTCTACACAATCAATAGCACAAAAATTGGATTTTTGGGGGGGTGAAAAAGTCCCCATTATGTATATTTCATCCATAACTATTATAAATACTAACTTTTTTTTCTATAAAAAATTATGTATTTTTATAAATACATTATTAAGCAATGCTTCAAAATATTTTATTATTTTAAATTAATACCGGTATATGCAAGTAAAATTTATATAAAAGCTAAATGTTTATATACAAGTTTAAATAATAATAATAATTTATATTTATAAAATATGCAAAAGAATAAGGTACAGTGGTTTATTTAATAAGGGCACTAATGAATAACGAATATCTGTACAGTGTAAGTCTACTAGGCAAATTAAGTCCTTTATAAAGAATATTAGCTTTACCAAAAAGGTTAAGAGTAAGTTTTTAAAATGTGGGTTCTTTCATAGATTGCAATAATATTGCAATTAATTGCAAACTTCACTACAGAATAAAAGTTGAAAACGAATTAATGTACAGGGGCCCCCCTCTGTTTATGAATTTAATCTGTACCAAGAGATGGTTCGTACACCAAAACTTCAAAAACCGAAAAAAAAATTCCCATAAGAAATAATGTAAATTGAATTAATCCGTTCTATATATCCAAAAATATTAACTTAAAAATACATTTTTTTTACAGAATACTACTCATAGGTACCATATCTTTATTGAGGGCTCTTGTATGGAAGACAGTGAGGAAGGGGGGAGGAGGAGAGGTGTTAGTGTTTGGAAGGGGAATCCCCTTCCATTATAACATAAGGCAGTGATGACATTTCCGGGGTACTCTCTCTCTCCTACGTTTTGCAGGCATACCACTAGGATCTGGTTGTGGCTCACTGCTTGCTTCTCTTAATCTATCTAAAGACAATTGTTTTTCCCTACATTTTAACACTTGTCTGTAGTGAGACATCACATTCATTCATTATGAATGATCTCTTGTTTTTCCAATATCATCATCCTCAAACCTATTTTCTTAGGTTGAACTTTACCACTCACTGTCTTGGGACCCATGGCATGATATAATAAGAACTTTTATGTTCAGAAACCAAAAAAAGCAGAAAAATAATTAAATTTTTCACAAAGAACTCGAGTGCGGTTTTCACTGGTAAACTGCTGAGCACTCCTCGCCCTGCGCTCCTGTAGAACCACATGCTCGTTGACCAATACCCTGTACATGTATCAACAGATTCAACAACCGAGGGCAAACCTTGAATACCGAGTCAAATTTTACAAGGAAATTGACCTTATATATAGTACCAACAAATTTGTAAAGAGGAGCATTCGCCAACCGAGGTTTCACTGTATCTGTAGTGTTTGACTTAAACTAGGATACCAGCAGTACCATAGGCTACTAAACTATAAAGACAGATCTTGTCCTTTCTGAAATGCAGTGTGTAATTAGTAGTTTAATATACAGTACAAGAACTGTACTGCACCAACTAAGTACCCACTATAACATGATTCATTGTATATTTTATCAATAAAATATAATTATTCATATTTAATTTCCCTTGAACACTACATATTCTTCTAAAATATAATATTTTGTGATTAACAACTAATAATTTGTATAAGCAGGCAAGAACTATTCTTGATCAAATTATTGAATAATCAAACTTTTTCCCTATGTATATGAATGTAACTAGATTATATTTACATAATGATTATATATAATATATATACCCAGTAGTATAATATACTGTCCTAATGTGCCAATGAACTCATTAAATTGTCATTTAAATTAATTCATTCAGTGGAATACAAACTTTTCGGAAGAAACATGTAGGGTATTATGATAATAATTATGCAAAAAATGTTAGAGGAATTGATTAAAATGTTTATACAGTATAGTACAGTACAGTTGGCTTCGTTCTCAACACACAATCGAAGATACCGGGTCGATTCTCGGGTAAAACAGAAATGATTGGGCATGTTTCCTTTCACCTATGTCTCTGTTCAACTAGCAGTAAATGAGTACTTGGGAGTTGCATATGTTGTGGGGTTGCATCCTGAGGAGGGTCAGTACTGTAGTTTGACCTTGGTAGGGTCTCGATACAAGCCTAGCTTCCTGTCCCTGACAAGGCAATTTATTATTACCGTATTTATATTTGTTGTATAAAGTGAGTAATCATGCATTGTAAACAACAACTCTTTGGGGATAATTGCAAAATTAGTGGAGGTACCAGGTCTGAATCTATGTTTTGACAGGCGGCATTCTTTGTGCTGTTGTTGGGGCTTGTGGTGGGGCTGTTGATGCTGGGAGCTGAGGCTGCCCTCAGTATGTTGTGGTTACCCAAGACTCTGCACCAGGAAGCACATCCATCTCAAGCATGGTTCCCTCATCAGTGGTGAGGCACAGAGGTGAGTAGGATTGGGGGGAGGAGAGGGATGGAGGGAAAAAAAAAAAAGACACACAGAAGGAAGCTGGAACAATTTAAGAGGCAAATAAACCTAATTATCACCAAACAGAGCTCCCTATATATTAGCAAACAAGCCTAAGTAGCCTATGAAATAACATGCAAGGGCTTGTGCACGGAGGATGAGACAAGAAAAGGGGTACTAGGATACTCTTTGTGTACCGAAGTATAGATAATAATTTATATATGGTTCACCAATTAATTAAATATAACTTGAATTTAAGTGCTTCAACAGCTTATCATATATTTGTATCTATCCTTTCCACAGTCCATACATGAAGAATCTCTGAGGCACAAGTTCTTCAATGACCGTAAAGTGAAGAGTGTACCTGCCTGTGTTGTGAGTCAATCTCTGAACCCTCCAGATGGGAGGCATGGTACCTGCCTGTGTCATAACCCTCCATCTGTGAACCCTCAAAATATCAGGCCTAGTACCAAAATCTTGTGTAATACAAACTGTGGATCTCTTGTTGAAGTCACAGATTTCTCATACAATGTTGCAGTTCATAATGTTTAATTAAACCCTTGTCATATGCTTCAACATACCAGTACTTTGTCAACTTTCTAACAATGAACTGATGAGAAAGATAATTACTGTACATGTGCACAGTTCTATATGGCACTGCTGTACATGTGCACAGTTCTATATGGCATTGCTGTACATGTGCACAGTTCTATATGGCACTGCTGTACATGTGCACAGTTCTATATGGCACTGCTTACAAAACTATATTGATATTTCCTAGAAATATGTAACTCTGATGACCTGACACTGGATATATTAATTTTCATATTTTGTAAAATATTTATACCAAGGCAGCACCAAGAATTGTGCATGGTGTTCAAAGAATGTGTCAAGCAAAATGTCTGTATAGAGGTCAGTTGTACATTTAGTAGCATGTCAGATGTTATCACAGCTTCAATACAACTTGGCTACAAGTATCTCTGGCAGTTAGGCAGGTATGGGGTTACAAGTATCTCTGGCAGTTAGGCAGGTATGGGGTTACAAGTATCTCTGGTAATTCAGCTTGCACATGGAGATCTAGATGCCATGATATGCAAAGTAATAGCAATAATAATTCATAGTCGGGGGGACAGGAAGCCAGAGCGTGTTCATACATGTTAGGCTTATATCAAGGTCTCCCCACAAGGTCAAGTGTCTGGACAAAGACAGGGAGACACACACACACTGGAGTGTTACATCTTACATTGGGTGAAAATTGGCAAATCATTTGATTGAAAATTACCCATATATCATTCTTGAATTGTGTCCATGTTTTGTTTTTAGTAGATTCAAAATAATATAAATATTACTACTACCCAGTAATATTCAATATTGAAAACTGTTAAATATTACCATAATCAATCACTCTTCACACAATGAAGATAAGAGTATCTATCTTAAAAATAATGAGCTCTGCAAAGATGCCCAACTTTGACCAACAACTCGAAGAACAACTCGCCTAAGGAATCTGATATAAGAAATGTTAGCTGAAGAATCACCTCCAATAATTACTGCACCTGGTAGCCGTCACGTTAGGCACATGTATCGGACAGCAACGGTATACTCAAACTGGGCTCGCGTACATAAAGGAGAGGGATGAGAATTAGGTCAATGTGCAATAACAATTTATTGAATATCATGTCAGCCATTAAGTTTTAAATTCCTGCATGAAGGAAAAATGACAATTTAAAATGCAATGCTTATTAAACAACTTGAAGAATGAAAATGGTTCTAAAATTAATTCATATAAGATTAGCTGAGAGTCCGAAAAGGTTCCCATGAATTTAAGCAACATTTTCTTTAATAACTTAAGGTGGAAATTTTATATCAGGATCCTGATAAAAAGTAAAATAATTATACAGTACACTAATGTCTATTAATTCCCAAATGTTCAGTAACACAATTATTCTATATCTTGCACACAAACACACTCATACACAATCATAAATATCAGAGTATACATACACAATCACACAGTATACCCAATTATCCAACTACAGTACTCACAAATTTTCATACCATATAGCCAAATATCCCATAACACACATACAATCATACAGTATACACAAATAACCTATCTTACATATGCACACACACACACATCCATAGGCACATATAACCCATCTCATGTAAGCATGCACACACAAACACAAATATTTAATCTCATACATGCATACCAGCTGCCATGCTACCTTACAAACAATAAGTCATTCGCCTTCATAAATCAAATGTAAGGAATGTGTCCATAACCCACCTCAACTAGTAGTGTTTATACTTCTATGATAAATATGTCTTAACAAACACAAAGGTATATTAATATTTTCCAGTTACAGCCAACAGCAAATATTATCCGTGAATGAAAATCCCAACATGATTACCTAATAATGCTAACCAGAAAATTATAAAGACTGAGAAACACTCAAAACAGCCCTGTGCATTATATCGCATTAGTACAGAATATAGCAGATCTTGCAACCCTTTATCAGCATTTGATGATAATACTGGACGACTGGATCATGCGCACATAACCGAAACCTTCCAAACTATGTGAGCGTTGCAGTTCTCAGTCTTCTGCTTTCTTGGGTAGTGCTGCTATCTCTGCCTTGGTCACCACTTCATCCATCTTTATGAAGGTCTCTGTGAGAGTATTAATCTGAATGCCTGTTAAGGGATAAACACTGGCCAACCAAAGTTAACAGAAGATAATTAATGACATTAATATGCAAGATATTAAATCACTATCAGCAATTACCTCATGAACTTCAACAAATCTCCAATGCATTTTTTAAAATCAGTTTTGTTAATTATTTTGTCATACACACCATGATGCAGGACTTCTAATTATCCGAGCTGCTTAAGAAGCGTGTCCTCTCGAGCTGTCACAGAAATGTATGAAATTGCCCAAACCTAACCTAACTGAAGACCCACAAATAGAAGAAGTAACAGTCCGTCAATTTAGTGAGCTGTTATGATTTATGGTACATCAGATTTTGATGCTGAGGATTTTTACATCAAAGTATGATGTATTATTCCAGAGGACAGGTTGGTTTAAGGGCTATTAAAATGCTAAAACATACAAACACAAAACAAAACATGAAATGATATACATAAATTGGGTATGTTTAGGTTTAAGGAAGACCTGAGTAAATACTGGTTTGGAAACCACTTGATTTATGGAAAAAAATTACCTAGTAACATAACAGACGTGGAATTGCTGGAGTGTTTCAAATGTAGGTTAGACAAATACATTAACAAGTTTGAGTGGATATAAATAGTTGCTTCATATGGGCCAATAGGAGCTGCCTTGTATGAGTGCATAGCTGCTGCCTTGTATAGGCCAATAGAAGCTGCCTTGAATGGGCCAATGGGAACTGCCTTCCATGGGTCACTAGGAGCTGCCATGTATAGCTTAATATGAGCTATCTCATATGAGCCAATAGAACCTGCCTTCTATGAGACAATAGGAACTGCCTCATATAGGCCAACAGGCGTCCTGCAGTCTTCTTTACTATTATGTTCTTAATATGGCTAGCATTTGAAGTAAATTAACCTACTAGGATGATATCATTGACTCTACCTCCTAATAAGTAAGGACAAGTTTCAGTAGGACTCCTAATGTATGAAATTCCACATCTTAAAATCCACAAAACAATGGAAATATATTGTGATTCCCACTTTATTTGGAAAAACCATGTTCAGTGGAATTGACTCTTATCAGTCAATAAAGTTCAAGACGTCAAGACGACGTGCCTTAGAAGCTTGCTCTTATTCACAAAATTTAGAAACAGAGTGGCTTTCAAAACTGAAATAATGAAACTAACATTATTTCAATTCAAAATACAAATTTTCAGGGTTCACATCTGTCATGATGCCTCACCTACAGAAAGGTCATAATCGAATCAGGTATAAATGGCCAGGAGGGGGGCATAAAGATCTAGAGCTCACTCCCCTTTAGTCACTGATAGGTACTCTACGCACACACCAATTACAGTCCTTTTTGCTATGAACAGTCTTAAGCATGAGAGGTCCTACTCCCCAGGTTCATAACCAAGAAGTATATTGTGAATGAGGATGAGGTTGTATTTCCTGAATAAAAAGGTGTATGGTTTTCCACTGTCAGAAGCAGGAAGTCTATTAGGCTAAGCCCTCTAGGCTAATGACTGACCTTTCCTAGGATGCAACCCACAGCAGTTGATTAACTCTCAAGCATCTGTTTAGTCCTAGGTGAACATAGGCATCAGGTGTGAAATGAAACGTTCCCAAAAGTTCCTGTTCTGTGCAGGAATAGAACCTGAAATATTAGTAATGGTAATGTTTTCTCACATAATAACATAGAATAAAAACTCAAACTTGTGTATTTGTGAAATTTATGTCAGGCATTTAGTAGAAGGGTAGTTTTATGGGCTCTAATAAATACTCTCATTGGTAACAAAAGCTTTACTTCAGAGGGTAGCTTTACTAGGAAAATGATTCTGAGTGAATTAAAATTAGATCTCAATAAATGGATGAAAGCAGTCCCATTAGCCATGCTCCTTGGGGTATTTAGAGGATTATGAAGGATAGCCTCCAGATTAACACCTCAATTAATAACTCCAGTTCCATGAAAAGCAGGATTACAGAAAGAACACATGACCATATTTCCGTGGAAGACATTACCGCAGGTACATCGCCAGTCGGGATTAGAGGAGACATGGTCAGGCGGTCAAGAAGAAGAATAAGAGGACTGGACCCAGGATAGCAGCCTCATTAGACATTGAGATGTAAGTTTCATCCTAATCACACACTCAGACCTTGATAAAGCACTCAGGAGAGTATGAAAGACTTGGTGTAAATTCCTTACATAAATTTCACAAATACAGTACACAAGCATGGGTGTTTAACTGGAAATATTCTTGTTTATCCTAATGATAAAGCTGTATACTTCATATATCCTGAGGGTCAAAAACTATATTATTACAGTAAAAACCAAGCATTGAATGTACTAAAATGCCTTTATCCGGTAAAGCCTCAGTGGCTTCCTGAAGCTATCTTACTGAGATTGCTCCATGCTAAAAGGTCAGATCAGTTGCGAAAGTTCTGATTGGCCTACCGGGGACCAGTCAGTAGCTCCCCTTCCGGAAGGCACAGGGTGTGAGTGACAATTTACTACCACACTGGGAAAGCATCCAGAAAGCCAAGGAAGCTTTACAGATAACTGGGAGGCTCACAGAAAATGAAGCCTCAAGAACCGCCAAACAACTTGTGAATGATTCACATAGAATAGGAGATTCACTCACTAGTTCAAAACTCATTTGTACCAATCACCACCACCATGTGGCCCAGCTCCTGGCCACAATCTGCTCCCTAGGTTAGTTCTAGAGCTGATGAACATTTCACCAACAAACTGATGAACTAAGAATGGAGGGTGGGAGGGAATCAGGGAGTCACTGGGATTCTTCCAGAAAGATACATTTCATTACATTCAACACTGGATTTCTGGAGAAAGCCCCCTAGTGGCTCCCTAAAGTTAACCAACCACAAAGAATGAGAATGCGAATTCTCAGGGAGAAGGAAGGGCGACAGGCACTAAGAAGAGAAACCAGGCCAGCAGACTTGACCCAAAACAAAAGACTGACTGAGACCAGGAACATTAAATAAATACTATGGTGTGAGAACCCGTTTAGAAAGCTGAAATCCTCAAGTCCAAATACCAGCCAGGATATGTTGCAGAAGATCGAGGCCAAAGCTGCATGTTTACGTACATAATGTACCCGAGGGTATGGAGAAGGCTGTTCAGACTTAATGACAGCCTGCATGGACAAGTGGCGCGGCGTCAAAGTGTGACATTTGCTTGTTTCCCTAGGATTTGGGGGGAGGGGGAGTTCTGCCTTTGTGTTTGGTCTTCAATTGCAATCTTCTTACCATGTGGGGTTTGTTTTGTCATGCCTACCTTTCTGGGTGCCAACCCTGGTTGATGGCAAACATGGAATGCCTCCAAATACATGGGGGGTTTCCATAGGCCATTGCTCCCTTTGCCTCTCTGAGGGGGGCCAGGTTCTGGCTCATGGTCAACAGTAGGCTGAACTCCAATTGACTGATGCCCCAGATTAATATAACATATATCAGCCTGATAGCTCCAGGGAGTAGAAGGGGCTCCCCTCAAAAATGTATTTCTATTAATCATTAAAAAATATTACATGTTGTAGTTTGTTTAATAAGTGAATCTGCTAATAAAGTTATCATAAAGAAACAGTTATCATAAAGGCATTGTTATCATAAAGGAACAGGTTGTTACTGTTACTGTATGTACTCTACGTACTCATCTCATAACCAAGTTAACGCAAAGTGAACCTTGCAATGGTTGCCTCAAATGGACTGTCTCATAATGAAGTTACCTTAAAGCACATTGATGAATTCATTGCAAAATGCATTTGATTTGAGAAATGATTATATTCCAATGCCAAAAGTGAGCACTTTATAGGATATCATTGATTTGTGTCCATGTGCAGTATTTCACCTTCATTCCCACCTACCCTACCTTACATGTACTTAGCTCTCGTTTTTTTTGTCTAATGCACAATACTGCATCTTTACAAAACCCTTTACATTTTATTATTAAATAAAATACTGTATATTCTGACTTTTCAGGTATGATTTCCAAATAGTCATAGGAGGAGTTTTCATCATTTTATCAAGGGCCAGAAATCTGTGCTTGAATGCTAACTTAATTTTCTATGACATTCATTGTCACAACATAGCAAATGCAATTGCAAGATACATTCAGTATACAAGTATAACAAAAGCCAAAAATTTGAAGCATAATATCCCCTTATACAAGGCAATGTCATTACTTCTTCATGTGTAACAAATAGTAAACACCTTGTTAACCTTTATCAAGCTCCAATAGCTACAAGTGATTACTGTACTCCCTATGCTCAAATTGCAATACGTAATTTGTTCACATTTGTTTGGAGAAGTATTTTTTGTCATGTGCAAGATGATGTAGGACTATTAACCCTTAAAACTGCACAGGATATTTCGGTGTTGTCTGTCAATGTGCAAGATAAATATTGTTCCCATTATTTTTTGTGTGTTTTTGACATTATCATCCAGGAAGCACAAAAACCCACATAAAGTGTGTCTACCTATCATGGTTCAGCTGTAGTTTTCCGAGTTGAGGTTTTTCACAAGTAATGAGGTGAGGGGGGGGATGCATAACAATAACTTGGTCCATTTACCTTCATTGTTTTTCCCTATATTAAATTTGTTCATGCTCATATGTTGTACTGAAGTATCAATCGTTGTATTCCTTATGTATAACTTTGGAAATAGTTGTATATACAGATATATGTGTATATATATACTTTACTCACAACCTGTATTTATTCATCAATCATTTTCCACTCACAATCAGGAATCCCGGGTGGGACAGAAATGGTTGGGGGCAAGTTTCCTTTCCCTTAATGCCTCTGTTCACCTGGCAATAAATAGGTACCTGGGAGCTCGTCAACTGTTGTGGAGTTACATCCTAGAGAAGGTCACTAGTTTGACCTTGAGGGGACCTCAATATCAGCCTAACTACTGTATATACATACACTGGTTGCCTGTTCCCCAACAAAACAAATGATATAAACCTAAACATTATAACTGCACACAGCACACATTTTGCCAGCAAATATATACAGTACATGAATATCACTTATCACTCATTTGCTGTTTTTAAAAGTTCAGTTGCCCCAAGCATGGTCGCCCTTCACATTCAGTCACTGGATGGTGATGCTCCAGACACGGTCCGCAAGGTCCGAGACACGGTCCGAGCCTCTTTACCAAGGCTCTGGATGGAAACTAAGGAACTCGGCAGTTTTCCAAATATGACAATCAGCTGACAGAGTTCTCTAGTGTCAAATGACATCCCCAAGAATGGTAGGGGCTATTGAATAAAATAGGGCACCTTAAATTATATCCAGGCAATTGGAGCACATGGGGCCAATCACTCTCAAGCAATTGGAGCATTGTAAAGGTTAACTAGCTGACCCATTTAAGGATTAGATGAATATATATATCGAGCTTTTACTACACAAATACAATTATACTGTAACTCATTCCCACCAGGATCCCGCCACAAAACTAAAACCCAGACCTCCGCAACATGCACCCCCAAGCCTCAGATATGAGTGCCACAACATGCACCAAGGCCCTTAACCCCTTCAGCTCTGACCCTTCATGGAAATGAACCACACAAGGATCTGAACATTCACCAAAAATGTGTATCATCCGCAGGATCTACTTTCTGACAGTTTGTAGCATCTGCAGGATGCACTTCCTAAAAGTCTGTAACATCCCCCAGAATCTACATTCCAACAGGCTCCATCATCTGAAGGATCTACTTCCCGGCAGTCTATAGCATCTGCAGGATGTGCCTTATAAGCTATATACTTGTTTGTAACCATTGTTTATAAATTTATGCGGGGGATAAAAATACTTGGGACACTTTAAGACATGTACATACATAAATTTTGCAAAATGTGCATGAGGAATGGGCCAAAAAGTGTGTTTATACACATGTAATACATATTTTATTTAGAAGACCAATTACTTTTATTTGAACAAGTCACTAGTTTATTATTATATTATTCATTATTGGGAGGTATGCAAGAGATGGAACACAGCCATTCTTACATTCTTTGAGGTTTTCATCCCTCCAGAAATGAATGAATCTGCTGTACAGCTCAGCACTGATGCTGATGGTAGCTAAATGTTCACCAACTCAGCACTGATGCTGATGGTAGCTAAATGTTCACCAACTCAGCACTGATGCTGCTGGCAGCTAAATGTTCACCAACTCAGCACTGATGCTGATGGTAGCTAAATGTTCACCAACTCAGCACTGATGCTGATGGTAGCTAAATGTTCACCAACTCAGCACTGATGCTGATGGTAGCTAAATGTTCACCAACTCAGCACTGATGCTGATGGTAGCTAAATGTTCACCAACTCAGCACTGATGCTGCTGGCAGCTAAATGTTCACCACCTGTTCAGAGCTGAAGGGGATAATAAAATACATTATCAGAACTTTATTATCATCTTTATGCAAGTATTATCAGTACAAAATGGATACACTTTACACAATGCATGATGCATTATCTACTGCCAATTCTTCAACTTCAAAATGCATATACATGTCTCTGATACACTACAGCATTGCAATACCCATAACTAAGACACATGAGCAATGCAGTTAGCAAAATTCTATATACTTTCCCAATATAAAACATGAAAGTCAGTAAATACATTAACGTGAATATAGTTAATAATAATGTTGGCCAATATTGAATAGAAATTCACATGTAAAGTTAGTCTACTCGTATACGTGCTAGTACAGCATTAAAATTCATAACTATATCTTGCGTCAAAACCTAGAGAGCAGTAATGTATGTTTGCTGTAGTCATGAACAAGATTAGTCTCGAGTTATACAAGAATAAGTCAATTACAGTATATTAACACTTTCGCGCTATCTGGACGCGCCGGCGCGTTCGGTTTCGTCTAACGTAAACGCATAGTGGACATAAAGTTATGTCAACTTTTAAAATATTTGTATAAAATTCAATTTTTATCCGATTTACTTTGGGTTTGTTTCAAACTGCGCGCTATGAGGCTCTCTTTCTCACCACTAGGCTGCATGGTACAATAAGTTCATGAAAGGTGTGGATAACGTCGATCAAATGGTATTTTGTCCCAAACGGGTTGCAGGTGGGTGACTTTAGCCGTTTATACTGGTAATTCTTCCCCCATATCATGTATTATATGCATATGTCTGTTTAGGGAATTTTATTCCGATCAATATACAACCAAAAATAACTGTGTGCAACAAGTATAATCTTGACAAACATAACAAAAGTAAAAATATTTCGTGTGTGTTTGACGCTCACTGATATGTTCCAGCGTTGTTTTATATTTGTCGCTATTCTAACTTACGCTTTGTTGATATTTTTTACCTATGGGCACATAGAACATTCTATTGCGAATACATTGACATGAAAATGAATGACGTACATAGAAAATTAATGTCATGAGAGTGAAATAAGTATAAACTTTCAAAGCGCTGTGCGTCGTCCCGTCACCGATACCGGGTAACAATTTCACCACTTCCCACACTCTTGCGGGCGGGCTGCATCAATATTCAACGCTTATATTCATATCACCGTGTTGGGAATTTCATTGCGAGTCCATTGATACCAAAATTAACGCTGTAGAACAAGTGTGGAGGTGATTATAATCCCAAGAGTAAAAACATTTTGTTGCTGATGGGCGCTCACGGCGAGTCATCTACGTAGTTATTTATTTGGTGCTGGTATCCCTATATGTTTCGTGACTTATTTTACTAATGTTCTTCTAGAGAATTTTATTGCAAACACGTTGGTGCCAAAATGAAATACGTAGCATGAGAACTAAGGTCAGGAGAGTAAAAAGAGTATACACATTTTTGTTTTTACGCTTAAGCGATAAAAACGCAGCGCGCACATTCGGTTGGCTGAGTGACCTTTGCGGAGAGCGCGAAAGTGTTAAATAGACAAAATGGCAATATCTTCTTGATACAATACTGTATTATAATTGCATAGCTTGACACACTTTACTAATAAAAGCAACACAAATAACATGTGACATTATTATTAATAAGAGTTCTGGGCCAGCAGTCATCCAACACTTCAAAAGCCCACGTACCAGACTGTACATTTGCCTCCATCATGGCATCTTAAACCATGATATACTAAACTTTATACAGCGTGGGATCCTCTCGTGTCCACCAGGAGTCTGGAGGCACCGAGAAGAGAGCCAATTCAACTTTTACATATACACCCACATACCCTCTGGCAAAGGTAATGGTATTCTCTACCAAATGCTCCCTTCAAACATACAATGAAGTCCCAATAACATGATACATATGCAGGCGATGAGTCACAATAACGTGGCTGAAGTATGTTGACCAGACATATATCTATGAAAAAGTTTTTGGAGCAGTTTACTGAACCAGCAACCTGGGTAACCCCCAGATGTGCACCTTAACCCGTGGACAATGATATACTAAAGGTTATACGACTTGGGATCCACCCGTATCCACTAGGCATCCAGAGGCGGCGAGCCGATAGCCAAATACAAGTGGAAAACTCCATTACCTTCACCAGAGTGTATGCAGGTTATATGTAAAATTGGATTGGCTACCAGCTCTCTGCCTCCAGACTCCAGTGGAAGCGGGTGGGTCCCAGCTTGTATAACCTTTAGCACGTTGTTGGGTTACCAAGGACTCCAGTTCTTTGTCCTGCTCCAAAAATGTTCTCTAAGACATACTTTATCTCATAATTGTAATTTCATCATACATATACAGCTTAGTTTGCATTTATTAAACAGTTTATGATGTCCAAAGTGCTACAAGATTGTGTAAAACAAAAAACAACCTCAGGTTGAGAATGACCTGGCAGTATTTAGAAGCTCGTAAACTGTTCAAGAAATACACACTAAGCTGCCATGATTGAGGAAAGATGTACAGCTCTCATGAGGGGACACAAGTGCTTGACGAGTCCTGACACAGTCTACCACCTGAGTTTACTCATCCTGATCGACTCAACAAGTATATGTGCGAGACAAGGCCAATGTTATCTCTATTCTATACAAAGATAAACAGGTATTCAGAATGTAAGTCACACTAACATGGCTGAAAAATTTTGATATCCAACCCCTAAATCTAAAAATAAAAGGAAGTGACGATGTTTTGGTCGTGTGACTTGATAATGGTACAGGAGAGACCGAAACACTCACTTTCCCTAATTTTCAAATTTGTGCATTGGGTGTCTGCAATTTTCACCCACGTTATTGTGGCTGAAGGTAAATGTATTAAAAGTGTAATAATAAAACATTACATACCAATTCATGCGGGACTGAGCTTCTTCCAAATACATAAGATTAATGAGGACCGTCTAAAATGTTCACCAATAAAGCCATCATCAAATTCAAGATGCAGGGGCATGCCACAATCTGGACTTCCTAATACTCATGATAAAACGTACGTACAATGTGCGTTGAATTTTCCATAAACGAACTTGGTGTTACAAGTGCATCATCAACAATGCATGATTTATAGACAGTAATAACATATTACACTCAAGCCACAAAAGACTGACAATATATTCACAAAGTTTGTACAAGTACGGGAAAGTATAAACTTAGCTTGATCCATCATAAAATTGGTATTTAAAGAAAACATTCAAAGTATATATGACTTCTCTCACATTTGTACAAAAACTATCAATGAAGTCCTCCCTGCTTTCTAATAAATCAAGAACACTTCCATTCATATCTAAATGTACTGATTTGTACCCTAACATCACAAGTATCTCTTACAAAAATAGCAACTTTATTGTAGCCTTAGTAATTAATAATGCTACAAGTGAGCACTATGGCAGAAGAGAATGCTGCTACAAGCATATATCTAGCAAAGCCTTCTTCATATTAAAGGATACAATAGCATTATATTGGTCAAGCATCTTCTTGATCTGCACACTCTGCTGGGAGGCTGCCTCCTCATCCTCACTGTGTCTGTTAGCTATCTGGATCAACTCGTCACCCAGGTTGGCAGAATCTGTAATATTTTGGTGAAAATATCCACTATAGAGTATAATGTAAATTCCTTAAACTGCTAAGCTAAGTACTACATCCTGGTGCATATGAAAAAAAAAAAAAAGCATTGGTTGTAATGAAATGCCATTTTCTGGGTGAGGCCCGGATTCTCCCCAGAGCTATCCAGGGTGATATATATATATTATTAGACTTTGGCATCAGTCAGTGTGAATGGAGTTCTAGGCCTACCGGGGACCACGAGCCCATTCTGAGAGGCATGAAGAGCAATGGCCTATAGAAATGCACATGTGTGTGAAGCATTCTATGTCTGCCATCGACCAGGCCAGTCACCCAGAAAGGTAGGCGCCCAAAAACAAACCCCTAATCTGGTTAAAACTACTACAGAAAACTAACAAGTAAATAGAACTCCCCAATTGAAAAACGAGCATGACATCACACTTGCCGTGCCGCTTGTCTGCGCAGCTCCCCTCTCCGCGGGAGGGGAAAGGGGGGAGCCCCAAACCCATCGCGCCGGCTATCCACCTGTCAGTTCGAGGCTGGATGTCAAAACACGAAAAAAAACAAAAAAAATGGCGGCCGGGGCAAGGGAGGGTTGCCGGGGAGCCTCTGGGTCTCAACCAGAAAATGGCGTTTCATTACATTCAACGCTGGATTTCTGGGGGAAACCCCATCGGCTCCCCAAAGCTACCTACCAAAAGCCAAGGACAAAAGAGGGACAAACCTGGGAGGCGGAAACCAAGCACCTAAAACCCGAACCAGACACAAGAAGATGCACCTCCGGCCAAACCCAACCAAGCAACAACCCCCAGGGACCCCTCTGGAAAAACAGCCAACCCAACCTTGCCAGAAAAAGAAGAACAGCTGCAACAAACAAACGTAACACCAGAACCCAAAGGAGCAGAAACCCCTGAGAAATAATCCGGAACAGAAGGGGCCACAACCAACCGAGGGGAAGAGATAAGAGCAAAGTGTCCAAAGACCAAGACGGCTCAGGCGGTGCACGAGTATGTCCGAGGTGAAACAACGCCCTAGACAGCTTGCGAAACAGTGCAGAAGGAACATCAAAACCGAAAGCAAGCCGTAGCAGCTCCGCCAGCGCCGCACGATACGAGGTGACAGAATGCGGCATACAAAGACAACCATTAGAAAAAGGACAAGACCACCCCAACAAAGGCAAAGTATACCTACGAAGAGACAAAAAGAAAAAGGAAGGACCGCCAGGAAACCCCATATTGCCACCTCGACAAAGCACGCAGGTGGGACACCACCAACGAAGGCACCTGATCACCAAACAGGAGGTGATAGACTTGGAGTCAAAATCACCAAATGCGAAGACTCAAGGAGAAGACCAAACCGGCCCTGTAATGGACTGGACCGAGCATTTGAAAGAGACAGAGCCATGGGAAAACCCCTGGGCACAGACACAGAGCAAGCAGTGCCTGAAACCAAGACTGTCAGAGAACCAGATGGAACGTCTGCCAGGGCACCAGGAACCCAAACCCGGTGAGCCGGGAAGAATCAACCAAGGTAAGCAAACACACCCCATCTGGGAGGACCCCCCCCCTCCCGGGACCCCTGAAGGATCAACAAGGCCAATAATGGATGACAATGAGAAGCCACCGCTTGCAGAAACAGTCCAACCGCAGACCCCACAAACAGCAAGGACGAAACCTGAAGAGCCAGGGCCCAGGCAGAGGCCAACGATGAAGCGAGCACCACGAGCCAACACACGAGAAGTGAAGCGAAAACAGTGACACCGCATCCCGCAGGAACGAAACAACCCGACCCAGCAGGACAGAACGACGCATGCACCGCCGATGAATGTATGAGGAGAACTACTTAGGACCCATACTGCACGAAAATAAAGTCCCATATGGAAAACCAACACATTTGGGACCGCTTAAGTGCATTTTTTGTGTGTTTTTGCTCTCTGAGACTTCCCACTGTCTCTGTTGCTCCCTCCTCTCTGTCACTTCTCTGGTGGGTTTTGTCTACGCGGCCTGGAATGAGGAGGTATGTGGTTTCATGGATTTTTCTCATTTTGGCGGCTACCTCAGTCTTCGCCTCTTACCTGCTTCCTGCATTCCTGTCTTCCTTCTCTGCTTCTGGACATGTGTTTTTCTTGTCTCTAGGCTTCTGAGGGTGAGCCTTGTTTGGATTTCTGTCCTTTTTTTTGGCCACCACCCTTGCTGTATGTTGTGTGTCTGTGTCCCCTCGGTGATAAGCTAGGGTTGCTGCTTGTCTGCTTTGTCTTGATTTTGTGCTCTTGACCGAGATGGGTTGACCTGGTGTCTATCCTAACCTGTTACCTCTGTTCCCCCTGCAGTGCACAGTTCTTTGTTTTTTCCACACCTTGTGAGGCTTTGTTCTGGGGTTTTAGGCTTGGTTTCTGGTCCTGTCCACACCATTTTGCAAGCTTGTGGCCGTGCAGGATTCTCCAGACTCTTATTTGTCCTCTTTGCTTTCTATGGTTACCTGCTTCTTGCATCCTACCCTGTCTATTTCCCTGGGTACTTCTGGGTGATGGTCTTGTCCCTCAGTCTTGACTACCTTACACTTCACAAGCTTGGCTACATAACACCTACAGGTACTAAAACCAAGGGTGTACGTGTGTGTATTATTTGCAAGCAAACAAAGAAACAGGAAACAAAAATCTGTTTGTACCTGGTGCATTGAGAGCGAAGTTGCGCTGTGTACCATGAACTGTTTCGTTGATTATCACTCACTTCCGAAGTACTGTGTAATACAGTGTGTTACTGTGTAGTGTGTGAAACTGTACATATTGTAATTTTAGTGAATGTTGAACAAGTAATATTGCGACAATAAACATTTATTGTGGACACATTACTGACACATGTATCACAGTTCCATGGAACATTACTGTATGAACGTTCTAATGTATACATATTGTAAAGAACACAAATATGCATCATATACGATAAAAAAATAAATAAAACCGTATTGGAAATACACAGAACAAATTGTAACAAAGGTTTGAGGTTCCCTCTCTACTTCTTCCTTCTTTGCCCTCTACCCGTATTCTTACTTTTTATTCTCTACCAAGGGACTCCAAAACTTTTACCAAAGCCAACTCCACGCCACGTGGTCCTAAGACGATTGACCGACTTAGGATTCTACACCCAGTATGACGTGACCTAGGCTCTGAGCAAACCCTAGAGTCGCCTATACGCTGCCACCACCAGACCAGCAACACAGAGCAATGATCGAGGTCTGGATCGATCACGCTAATTAATCAACCTTGGGGCTTGATCCCCACTCGATGACCGTGGAAACTTAAGAGTGTGAAATTAATTACACGGGAATGATTCGATGTTAGAATCGGCGCCCAATCCAACTCTGCCTCGTGTGGACCACGTGACCAGGACAAGTATACACATAACCAAATGGAAACAATAAAAATGCAAAATACTAACAATTTTAATTTATTAAAAGAAAAACTAAAACAAAAAATCTAAATATGTTCACTCCCTGTCACTTTAACACTCCCTACTTGACCTGAATGGCAAATGAGACTATTTCTATACATAACAATAGCAACTATACCTCTATGTTTTACCAGCTAAAGATGTTGGGCTGGTCTTGGGGAGAGGTAAGATGTTTGACCTCTCCCAGCTGCTCTTCTCTCCACACTGATCTCTCCCTTGTCTCGTCTACCCCAGACAGAGCATTGTAACCTTCCGCCTAGTCAAAGTTTCACCAAGTTACTAGCAAGGTTTAAGTTATAACAATTAACCTCTGTTTGTACTGAATTGATCCAGACTGGTTGAATTCTTTTACTGAAATTAAATTACACAAACATCTAACGGCAAAGCTGTTCCCGATCCCCCAAAAATGGATAATTGAACTTTAACCCTTGCACTGCTCACCTATTTTCGGCAAAAACGTCTTGGTGCAATTGACAAGGACATATTTTTGTTATTTTTACAAATGTTCAGGTAAATTTAATGTCAAAATGTTTCCAAAGTCAACTATTTCCATTTCAAAACAAAAATAGTAATGAAAACATTAAAAAACATTAAAATATAACCAAATTAAAAAACAAAAAGCACAACTCTCTGAGCGCCTAAAGGTGCTTTGCGCAGTGCAGTGGTTAAGAAATAGTAGACCTGTCAACCCTGCTGACCTATGACCGCCGGTCACTCCGCCTTACAAGTTAGATCTGATTCGTGACGTCACTGATGGTGACTTAAACTCAATAATTAGAATACTCTTGATATTGTATCCAGTACTATTATACAATACAATTTTAATGCAAAATGAATAAAGGCTAATTTTCTCTAAATTACTGAATACTATAGGATGGTTCATTATACGCAGCTATGAACAAAGCGTCGGTTATTTCCACCGCGAATTCCCCTGGGGGTCAGGTCCCCAGGTCACCATGCGGGCTCAGCTTCCCATCCTCTTTTGTCGATAAACCACTCTGGATAATTCTTACAACAGCCTAGTTTGTTACAACCCCCCTGCACAAGCACTTAGTAAACCTTGTTAATTTGTTAAAATTCACGAGGTTTAGTATCCAAACCCACAATTCAACTCATGCCACAAACAAAAGCTAACCTAACTAATAAAATTTGACAAATAATAGTCCAACATCATAATAAACATGTTCATATTTCATAAATTTCTCAGCTGTCAACTGACAGCAATCCTCTAATATCAGGAAACATACATCCTATCCTTACTGACATAGCTAAATAACATGTCCCTACTCTACCATCAAAGACTAGCTATTAAACTCCCTTGGCTCTTCACTAGCCAAGTAAATGTGTCCTCTAGAGCCGGCCACACCGTGCTCAAACATAAACATTAAAGTTATAGCTTCAGACTGAACTTTCAGTCATCCGGGAACGTACTACGGAACTATCAAGTTCACATCCGTGTACTAACCACTTCAAACTAGGCTGTTGTAAGAATTATCCAGAGTGGTTTATCGACAAAAGAGGATGGGAAGCTGAGCCCGCATGGTGACCTGGGGACCTGACCCCCAGGGGAATTCGCGGTGGAAATAACCGACGCTTTGTTCATAGCTGCGTATAATGAACCATCCTATAGTATTCAGTAATTTAGAGAAAATTAGCCTTTATTCATTTTGCATTAAAATTGTATTGTATAATAGTACTGGATACAATATCAAGAGTATTCTAATTATTGAGTTTAAGTCACCATCAGTGACGTCACGAATCAGATCTAACTTGTAAGGCGGAGTGACCGGCGGTCATAGGTCAGCAGGGTTGACAGGTCTACTATTTCTTAAAGTTCAATTATCCATTTTTGGGGGATCGGGAACAGCTTTGCCGTTAGATGTTTGTGTAATTTAATTTCAGTAAAAGAATTCAACCAGTCTGGATCAATTCAGTACAAACAGAGGTTAATTGTTATAACTTAAACCTTGCTAGTAACTTGGTGAAACTTTGACTAGGCGGAAGGTTACAATGCTCTGTCTGGGGTAGACGAGACAAGGGAGAGATCAGTGTGGAGAGAAGAGCAGCTGGGAGAGGTCAAACATCTTACCTCTCCCCAAGACCAGCCCAACATCTTTAGCTGGTAAAACATAGAGGTATAGTTGCTATTGTTATGTATAGAAATAGTCTCATTTGCCATTCAGGTCAAGTAGGGAGTGTTAAAGTGACAGGGAGTGAACATATTTAGATTTTTTGTTTTAGTTTTTCTTTTAATAAATTAAAATTGTTAGTATTTTGCATTTTTATTGTTTCCATTTGGTTATGTGTATACTTGTCCTGGTCACGTGGTCCACACGAGGCAGAGTTGGATTGGGCGCCGATTCTAACATCGAATCATTCCCGTGTAATTAATTTCACACTCTTAAGTTTCCACGGTCATCGAGTGGGGATCAAGCCCCAAGGTTGATTAATTAGCGTGATCGATCCAGACCTCGATCATTGCTCTGTGTTGCTGGTCTGGTGGTGGCAGCGTATAGGCGACTCTAGGGTTTGCTCAGAGCCTAGGTCACGTCATACTGGGTGTAGAATCCTAAGTCGGTCAATCGTCTTAGGACCACGTGGCGTGGAGTTGGCTTTGGTAAAAGTTTTGGAGTCCCTTGGTAGAGAATAAAAAGTAAGAATACGGGTAGAGGGCAAAGAAGGAAGAAGTAGAGAGGGAACCTCAAACCTTTGTTACAATGGTGGCAGCGGTGCCTTTGTTACAAAATAATTGAAAATATATTTATGACAATTCCCGGTGCTTGAATTCACACACAGGCGCACAGCAAATGACGTCACACGCCCCCATCTCCATGTCCCCACAGCCAAAGTAAGTTGACTTTATTAGTTTTTTTACATGTATGTATGTGTTCAGGGAAGGGGATTTATCATTTTACAAATATAAAAAAAAAAATTGGGGAATACTTGATTTTCAGAGCACAGGGGGGAAATATCCCACTAAACACAGCGCAGCACAGTGGTTAAACAATGCTGCCGACACCCTGGCTCCCGATGTCAACACAGCAGATGACGACCAGGCAGGCCTCCACATCCTCCACAAGCCAGTCCGAGGACAGCTCAAGAAGGGAATAGAAGCAAAGAACTGAGGCCTCAGGGAGCTGGGACCCCCCCCCTCTCCCCCTCCCGAGGTGATGGTGGGGGGGAGGGGGAGCAAACGAGTGGCACGCAGTATGATGACGTGTTGCTTGTTAGCGTGTTTTACTTTGGGGAAGTTTCTAGCCTCTGTTCGGTCTCAGGTTACAATTTTTCTACCAGGAAGGGTCTGTTTTGAAGCCCCTACCTTTCTGGGTGCTCAACCCTGGTCGATGGCAAATATGAATACTTTCATACATGAGAGTTTCATAGGCCACTGCTCCCTGCGCCTCTCTGAGACCATGTTCTGGCTAGTGGTCCCCTGGTAGGCATGACAACTTCATATGACTGAAGCCCCCCGCACTAATATTAGCTAATATCAGTCCAATAGCTCCAGGGAGTCTCCGGGGGGCTCCCCCACAGAAAGAGTATACAGCACTAGGAATGTAGAGGCTCTTCTGGATCTTTAGGGTTGATAAATTGATATAGCTCTGTAATTCTTGGGTTTGGTATACAATACTGGCTTAGCTTCCCAACAGGAAAAGTCAAACCAGTGGCGATGTGATCACAATACTCATCCCTATGATGGAATACTTTATCTATCTCCTCTCCTATGATCAAACACCGAAACACACACTTCCTATAACGAGGAAAGGTGGTGTTCCAAGAGCATATGGTACTAGTACCGAGTTCATGCCCCAAATTAAAAACAGAGCAAAATATGGAACATATAAATGGATATCATACAGAGCACCACTTGGTTTCCGAACTTTAGTTATCCGAAACTTCCAGTTTCCTGATTGGGGGTTGGGGAGTCACGCTAAATGAAATAAGTTCGGATAGGAAGCAGTCCGCCAAGCCTCACGCCAGCTGGGGTGGGAGTTACCCTATACGAACCAAGTTTGGGTGAGGAAGTGGCCAGACAAGCGTCACGTCATCATTTTTTACTATTTCTCTAAAAGTGAAAGTTGTAAGGCAATACGATATAGAAAGGTAATAAGTAAAGCAAAGGTGGAGAGTGTTGATAACCCAGTGTGTGAGTGGTACAGAGGCGTGAGGTGACGAAGAAGCCAGTGGCAGATGATGTCACAAACACATGTCAATTAAAGAGTCTTTTGCAATGGCTTCCAAGAAAGCTCACATTGCATCTCCTGCACCTGACTCATCACATGTTGACCCAGTCAACCCAACACCATCAACATCCACCACCACCTCTTCCATGTAAATAACTATGCTTCATCAACATAAGCGGAGCAGGACTTCACTTATTGGTGAGTACAAACAAAATACGGTCGCATTTACGCTATGAACCTGTCGATTTTCCCCCTAGAGTTTATTCATAAATTTTTCTATAATTTTTTTTTATATTTCTAATTTATTTTTTCCCTCCATTTCTCGTTTATGAACTTACATGATAACCAACGGGTCTTGTCCCTAAGGGGTTCGGAAACCAAGTGGTGCTCTGTACCATACTACCTCATGTTAGAGAAAGAACTTACCTGAGATGTGCTGTGAATCCAGGACATTCTTAAGAGTGTTCATTGTATTGAGGTGTTGGTATTGGTTGCGCAGCTGCTCCTCACGGGCCAACACCAAGTCCAGCTTAACACTGTCTGACAACTCGAGGGACTCGCCATATGAAGGGTCAAGGTAACGCTCCAATTCTTCTACTGTGGGACAATTCATTGGGAAAAGTGAACAACAGACTCCTAACCATTACACTAAATTCCTTATTTTACTAATAAATTACCCCTCGGACACCCAACCCACACATGTAAAGATGTAGAAAGAGATGTTTCAGTGTCGTGGAGGATTATAATGAATGAACGTGTTGCATGAAAAATTCATGACATGATGGTGGGTCAGGAAGAACCGATACATCACCACTTCCTTTATTTTCACACGTGTGGGTTGGGGCATCTAATTTTCTGCCAGGTTATTGTGGCTTGCTCTCTGCAAATTACCCCTTTTTTAGCAATGGTATGTACTGTATTGCTATATATGTACTACTGTACATTAAATTCATTGTAATTCCTGCAGTAATGCACGCTACAGCACTGATTTACAAATCAATACCGTCACAATTTACAAAATATTTATTATTAACCTTGTATGCATTTGATCACACGGGTACTATACACAATAATATATCAATATTATGTAACACCTAAATTTCAGCTGAGTTTTGATCATTTAAGACAGGAAGACAGGAAAATGAAAACAAAAATCCCTGAAGACACACAACAAACAAACTGGCAGTCAGAGAGAAACATCGGCCACTGAGCTGAAGTAAAGCTAGTTGTGCCAGCCGAATGCACCTCACCCAACCAATAATACTCCCCCGCCCGGGGCAAGACGGAAACCCATAGACCCTCGATGTACCCCAAGGGCAAAGTCAACATCAAGCGATGAAGTCCTCAAACTAGGAAGTGATTCCCGAATGCCCCAGAGAAGATGACCCCTGACACGCAAGGGTAGTACTCACAGAGTACCTAGGGAAAGTCACCCTAGGCACCTGCTGCTCCTGCACTCTAAGACACCTGGCCACCACACCACAAACACACAGCTGGAACTGCCACACAGGGCCAAAATCCATAACAGGACCTTGAAGCCAAAGTGACTGATCTGACTGCCAACACATCAGTTCAAGAACTGAAGTGGTGGGCTGTCGGGGGGTAATGCTAACGAGCGGGAGTGCTAGTTGCATGAAGTACTGTTTGTTGGGTTTCTTTCTAGGAGTTATTTCTATTTTTGGGGGATGTAGATAGCACAGCTTAACACTTTCGTCCCCCTGGTGACATTGGCGACATCCGTCCCTGCCAGACAGATGTTCACCCGGGACGGCGGAGACGTTCAAAATTAAAATACCGTATTTGTTAAAACTATTTGTTTTCCAATCAATATGGGACTAGTTTTAAAATGCGTGCCTTTAGATTGTGAACTATTTGATACCTGAATGAACGACATAGCATGAAAATTGCAGTGAGAAAACTGAACAGAGTATACATATTTTATTGTGTGCTTGCTCATGGGTAATGCTCGGCTGACTTTCTAGTTTGCTGTGTGTAGTGCGCCTGTTTATTTTTATCTTATATACATATATTCCTTTATAAAATTCTACTGCGAACAAATTGATACCAAAATGAACGATGTAACACAAAAATTGACAGGTAACGCTCGGCCGATTTTCGGGTTTGCTGCAGGTGGCACGCCGGGCTTTTGTACTTTATATGCATATACCCCTGTAGGGAAATCTATTGCAAACACTATGATACCAATCTTAAAATCTGAAAGTACAATACTGTACAAATCTTTTTAATTTTGCGTAATAAATTTCTTGTTCCTGGAAAGCATCCTATTTTTTCCATAAAATCCTTAGCCAAACACCAATATTACACAGTTTGGTTTGACGTGGCATCTCAAAGAATGCATCCTCATGAATAGCCAGGAATTGTTAAACACAGTGGACATAACCTTACCTAACCAAAGCCATAACCCGGTGGAGGCAGAAACAAATGGGCAGTTTCTTTCACCCTGCTTCCCCCCTGTTCACCTAGCAGTAAATAGGTACCTGGGAGTTAGACAGCTGCTACGGGCTGCTTCCTGGGGATGTGTATCAAAAAGGAGGCTTGCTAGAGGACCGGGCCGCGGGGATGCTAAGTCCCGAAATTATCTCAAGATAACGGTATGCTGTTATGTTTGACAAGGAGGACTCAGGTACAGTAGAGTAATGTAACAACACACACAGAGTTAACTGCATCATTGGCTGCTGATTTACCAAGGAGTTTTACCAACATTTTCCATCACAACACAAAAAAATATTAGTTACTCACATCTCTTCATAACCATCATCATACGGTCGCGGGTGCCCAGCGCACTGCCCAGCCGCCCGCCCAGCGAAGCCAACGTTGAAACAACCTGAAAGACATGCTCACTTCAACACTTGTCGCAAATCTAACTGAGCTGTTCTAAATAGCCACAATTTTATTTACTGGTACTTTATATTCTACACATACTTTAATTTACGTATTTTATTTACCGTACTGTACTATTTTACCAAAGTTCCTTTGGATTCTTTAGCCAGCCTGCTCTCCCCAACTCTCAATAAAACAAAGTAATCCATCATCAAAACAAAGGGGCGACTGGTTTATGTACAAAATATTGATTAAGCCACTTAGTAATAGTCTGTATGTTGTACATTTGTCATTCAGACACTCTTCCAAGCTATGACTAAAAGATGTACTTCATTCACTTTCAGTCTGTACTGTAAACACTCCCTAAATTAATGCAAAAACACCTTTTCTAATCTTTTGTAGACATAATTATGTATAAACCACCAATATCCATTATAACAACATTTATTTATACTTGGGAAAAAATGCACGGCACCCGCTTGAAATGCCCAGTCAATGCATGACTCGTTGAGCCAGATGGCACTCCGACAGATCAACTACTCTAGCATCTGCGCATACCATGAGATTACCAGCAGAACACTGATCGTTAGACTTGTTCAAGCACCAAAAATTGCAATACTGTAGCACAACAGGGCTCACAGATTGACTCCCATGTGCCTGGCACCCAATGTCCCAGAACTGGAGAGACATTTGGGCACTGGACCAAAGCTGGAACAAGAGCCACTGACCAGGCAAAGTGGTGGAATAAACACATCCACCATGTAAAGAACCTGTATAACTCCCACCTCTGAGGATCAGTGAGAACTGGGTATGAAACAAACGAGAGACCAGATCGTCTCTTGGAGAATCAATATCGATAAGCCGTCAGGTATGAAGAGTACGAAGAAGTCGGTAATTGCCCCACAACAGCGGCATAACAATCTGGGAATGGTAAGTGTGGCTGTAACAGCAAACTACATTGTAGTCGAACTGAAAGGGAAGGTGACACTGATATTTTAAAGTATAGTTTTTTAGGTTTAGTGTACAGCTAAAAAAATTACTATTTTTCTTAATATTATATTGTTGGCAATCAGATTCTCAGTAGAATAATGATGTATTGTCGGATAGCAAGACAACCCAATTTCAGCCCCTCCTGGGACACTGCTACCAGCCACCACCTGTTTGGGTAGAAGGAAACCAAGAAAAGCAACAGTGGCACATACCAGCAATGACCCCATTGTGGTGCCAGTATCTGGCTACATCATTTATTCCCTATAATACAAGTCTTTAGAAGCTTACCCCTAAAGGACAATACAGCCACACAAAAACAAAAGAGAACAAATAAAATAAAATATAACTCCTTAAATGTGGCACTTTACAAACTATTATATGCATATGATCATGAACAACAAAATGTTATAATATTTATTCTAAAAGTTTTGTATTAGGCATTTTTAATGTTTCAATATGTTATTAGAGAATATTTTAATTACCTGAATTTACCTGAGGGCCACGAACACTAGTGGCTTCGATGAGCACAGGAAGCTGGCAGCGTGCTGAAGGTCCCCCATTTGCCTTGATCTTTTCCAGCTGGATTTTAAAATTTAACATAATTTGTTTCATAGTTTCTGGCATTTCATGAATGCAGTTAATGCACTGGTACAGGCACAATAGTACACAGTGACGCTAGCATTGTTACAGTAGTTCATTTAAGGAGGTCAACTTAACTAGATGTATGCACCCTGTTGATCCATTTCCTAGTATGGAAACAAAGCCAAATGGCAAATAAGTAACCCTCCTAACACCCCAACACACCTGGTTACCCCTGAATACCCATGAGTCTAGGGATAGGCCACCCACAGCACACACAGGTGCTCTTCACATTCAAAGGGAACAAAGGAGCCTAAACACAGATGCCGAAGAAATATAAGAAAATTCACTTTCGCAAACAGAGTGGTAGACGGTTGGAACAAGTTAGGGAAGAAGGTGGTGGAGGCCAAGACCGTCAGTAGTTTCAAAGCGTTATATGACAAAGAGTGCTGGGAAGACGGGACACCACGAGCATAGCTCTCATCCTGTAACTACACTTAGGTAATTACAACCAACCCATTCCTGGCACCTCTTGGCCAAGCCACCTACAGACCTGACGCCTTAAGAGCAAGCCAGAAAACGCAAAGAATCCATCAGTGCCCCCCTTGACCTCATGGTAATATATGTACCATAGTGTACAGGGTACAATACTTACCTGAGTGTACAGTGATTCTGCACATGTAACTAAATGGCTCTTGGAACTGAAGGACAAGAGCTACAAGGAGATGTTAGAGGCATTAAATTTGCCAAAACTAGAACAAAGAAGGAAAAGAAGTGATATGATCATTACGCACAAAATAATAACAGGAATCAATAAAATTGATAGGGAAGAATTCCTGATACTTTGAACTTCAAGAACAAGAAGTCATAGATTTAAAGTAACTAAACAAAGCTGCTGAAGAAATATAAGAAAATTCACTTTTGCAAAAGTGGTAGAAGGTTGGAATAAGTCTCGCAGTTCCCATAGTGCAGTGGTAAGACATTTGCCTGGCGCTTCGCGGGCGCTTTGGCCTGGGTTCGTATCCTGGCCGGAGAGGAATTGATTGGGCACCATTCCTGAACTGTAGCCTCTATTCACCCAGCAGTGAATGGGTACCTGGTTGTTAAAATGAGTTGGCGGGTAATATTCCGGGGAAAAATTAGGATTAAGGACCTTCCCGATACGCTAAGCATTCTAGTGGCTTTACAAAAATGTAACAACTTCTGTATACAGGTATATAAATAAAATAAAATAAAAAGTTAAGCGAGGTGGTGGTGGCCAAACCCGACAATAGCTTCAAAGCGTTATAAGACAAAGAGTACTGGGAAGACGGGACACCACGAGCGTAATTCTCATTCTATTAACTACACTGAGGCAACTACACTGAGCTAACTACACACACACACACACACCCAGTCATGCTACAGTGCACAAAAACAATTTTTTTTTGTTTCATATCTACATTTAAACCAATCACAACGCTCCTCAACAATTAACAACTAAAAAAAGGCCAGTAAACATAACACAAATGACCCCAAATCGTAAACCAGGACCCCAACAATCTCTTACTAAGTGTGATGACAACAATTACCTCCCCCCACCCCCCTTCCCCAACAATCATCCCGAGGCTGCCACAATCACCCCCACCACGACCCCTCGACGACCCCTGGAGAATGTTTGATAATAAGTTTATTGTTTGTGAAGTGTTTATAGGTATGTGTTAACACGATGTATTGCACAGGGTGAGAATAGCTTGAGCTACCTCACCCCTTTGTGTGTATTTTACCTCAATAAACTTATTTCAATTTCAATTTCGACGACCCCCACCACGACCCCTCCTACCTCCGGGTACTGGGCATCCTTGGGCAGGGGCCCGAAGATCTTCTCCTCGAGCCTCTTGACCCGGTCCTCCAGGACGAGGATGCTCTCGCACTGCTCAGCCGCCATGTTTACATCTGACTCACCCGGCCGTCCCTCCACGCTCCCCTACACCCGCCCCTGGCTGGTTACACCACCACCCATGCTCCCCTACACCCGCCCCTGGCTGGTTACACCACCACCCATGCTCTCCTACACCCGCCCCTGGCTGGTTACACCACCACCCATGTTCCCCTACACCCGCCCCTGGCTGGTTACACCACCATCCACGCTCCCCTACACCCGCCCCTGGCTGGTTACACCACCACCCATGCTCCCCTACACCCGCCCCTGGCTGGTTACACCACCACCCATGCTCCCCTACACCCGCCCCTGGCTGGTTACACCACCACCCATGCTCCCCTACACCCGCCCCTGGCTGGTTACACCACCACCCATGCTCCCCTACACCCGCCCCTGGCTGGTTACACCACCACCCATGCTCCCCTACACCTGCCCCTGGCTGGTTACACCGCCACCCACGCTCCCCTACACCCGCCCCTGGCTGGTTACACCACCACCCATGCTCCCCTACACCCGCCCCTGGCTGGTTACACCACCACCCATGCTCCCCTACACCCGCCCCTGGCTGGTTACACCACCACCCATGCTCCCCTACACCCGCCCCTGGCTGGTTACACCACCACCCACGCTCCCCTACACCCGCCCCTAGCTGGTTACACCACCACCCACGCCCCCCTACACCCGCCCCCTGATGGCTGGTTACACCACCAGCCACGCTCCTCTACACCCACCCCTGGCTGGTTACACCACCTCCCATGCTCCCCTACACCCGCCCCTGACTGGTTACACCACCACCCACGCCCCCCTACACCCGCCCCTGGCTGGTTACACCACCTCCCATGCTCCCCTACACCCGCCCCTGGCTGGTTACACCACCTCCCATGCTCCCCTACACCCGCTCCAGGCTGGTTACACCACCTCCCATGCTCCCCTACTCCTGCCCCTGGCTGGTTACACCACCTCCCATGCTCCCCTACACCCGCCCCAGGCTGGTTACACCACCTCCCATGCTCCCCTACACCCGCCCCTGACTGGTTACACCACCATCCACGCTCCCCTACACCTGCCCCTGGCTGGTTACACCACCATCCACGCTCCCCTACACCCGCCCCTGGCTGGTTACACCACCACCCATGCTCCCCTACACCCGCCCCTGGCTGGTTACACCACCACCCATGCTCCCCTACACCCGCCCCTGGCTGGTTACACCACCACCCATGCTCCCCTACACCCGCCCCTGGCTGGTTACACCACCAGCCACGCTCCCCTACACCCGCCCCTGGCTGGTTACACCACCACCCATGCTCCCCTACACCCGCCCCTGGCTGGTTACACCACCACCCATGCTCCCCTACACCCGCCCCTGGCTGGTTACACCACCAGCCACGCTCCCCTACACCCGCCCCTGGCTGGTTACATCACCAGCCACGCTCCCCTACACCCGCCCCTGGCTGGTTACACCACCACCCATGCTCCCCTACACCCGCCCCTGGCTGGTTACACCACCAGCCACGCTCCCCTACACCCGCCCCTGGCTGGTTACACCACCACCCATGCTCCCCTACACCCGCCCCTGGCTGGTTACACCACCACCCATGCTCCCCTACACCCGCCCCTGGCTGGTTACACCACCAGCCACGCTCCCCTACACCCGCCCCTGGCTGGTTACATCACCAGCCACGCTCCCCTACACTCGCCCCTGGCTGGTTACACCACCTCCCATGCTCCCCTACACCCACCCCTGGCTGGTTACACCACCAGCCACGCTCCCCTACACCCGCCCCTGGCTGGTTATACCACCTCCCACGCTCCCCTACACCCGCCCCTGGCTGGTTATGGTCGAACCCCTGTTAGAATTAGACCTAACTATGGGATGGGTCAACCCATCCCATAGGATGGGAAAGGATAGGTCCATTAAAGACTGAGACAGGTCAAATAACGAATAATGATGAAGAGATGAGTAGTATTTTTAATAAATATTTTAAATCTGTATTTACTAAAGAGGAATTGAACAATATGCCTTCAACCAAACAAGTGTGTGGGAAGGGACGAGGACAGGTTGACTAGTTTAGCAGTTACCAGGGTTAGTTAGTTTAGTTCATTTATTATGCACCCCATACCCATCTTGTGGGCGGTAGTGGAAAGGGTTACAGAGGCACATAATGGGCTCCTTGAGGTTACCTTGAGGTGCTTCCGGGGCTTAGCGTCCCCGCGGCCCGGTCGTCGACCAGGCCTCCTCGTTGCTGGACTGGTCAACCAGGCTGTTGGACGCGGCTGCTCGCAGCCTGACGTATGAGTCACAGCCTAGTTGATCAGGTATCCTTTGGAGGTGCTTATCCCGTTCTCTCTTGAACACTGTGAGGGGATTGCCAGTTATGCCCCTTATGTGTAGTGGAAGCGTGTTGAACAGTCTCGGGCCTCTGATGTTGATAGTTCTCTCTCAGAGTACCTGTTGCACCTCTGCTTTTCAACTGGGGTATTCTGCACATCCTATGTTACGACCCTGGGTTCCTCAGTGGAAACCAGAGGTCAAATTGAGTTAAATAAATTACTTTTATTATTTGGTGCGCTTGTCGAAGTTCATTCCTATCTTCCTTGCCAGACGTAAGAAGAATCTTGTTTCTCACAGAGCATTCAGACTCGTGAGCTTGTTGTGGAGTAAGTATAACCATGTAGTAATTATTAACTATTCTTAGAACTATTAAAGTAACCAGTTTTACGTCGAGGAAGAGTGGTAATGTTTATAAGCGGCACGATCAGCTGTTGTCTCCCCGGCAATGGCTGGAGAGAGCTGAGGCTGGTGGCTGCTGCTCGCTCTATGGCTGGGGTTCGTGGTGTCAAGATTTTCTCTGAGCTGCTCTGCACCCCTATACCTTTTCTCCTCCTCCTTCCTTCCCTTACCTTGAATTCCTGTAACCGCTAAGTTAAGTAATTGTGTGTATATTTGTGCCTACTCTGGGATTGTAAGATTGGTGTAGACCTGGGGTAGTATTTGCCAGTGTTTTGGGTGCCCCTTAGTGTTGTGTTGTGTTAGGGTACCACGTGGTCTCACTATGCTAAGCTGCTTCAAGCTTCAGGATCTTCACTAGTAGTACTTTACCCTAGCTTGTTCTCATTGTAAAACCTTGTATCCTGCCTATGTCGACCAAGGCTTTTAACGTAAGATAGTGTGGTAAAGTAATTTACCACAGTCACAGTTACCACAGTAAAGTCATTTTACCAGTTTCCGTGGTGTAGTGGTAAGACACTTGCCTGGCGTTCCGCGAGCGCTATGTCATGGGTTCGTATCCTGGCCGGGGAGGATTTACTGGGCGCAATTCCTTAACTGTAGCCTCTGTTTAACGCAACAGTAAAATGTGTACTTGGATGAAAAAACGATTCTTCGCGGCAGGGGGTCGTATTCCAGGGACCATAGGATTAAGGACTTGCCCGAAACTCTACGCGTACTAGTGGCTGTACAAGAATGTAACAATCATGTATACATCCATCAAAAAAAAAAAAAAAAAAAAAAAAAAAAAAAAAAATTATTGGTGTGAATGTATATGGGGGGTTGTTAAGGGGTTAATAAATAAATAAGTTAGTTAAAGGAGTATCCATTCTTCCTGTGTAGAAGATCTATGATCAACCTCTAGACTGACATTGTTTTGTAGCCAATTAATATTCACTGTTGATATTTTTATTTGGGGGCCGGGCCTTACTGATCTCCACTGCTAGAGATATATCTTTATTCTAACTACTGCCCCTACATCCATTTAATACTAGATCCCCCATAGTAGAACAACACAATTTATAACATCCTGCCATGTCTTCTGGTCTCATGTGATGTTATCTTTGTGTGCTGGTTTGGGACCAGCCCCTCTAATATTTTCCACGTGTAAATTATTATGTATCTCTCCCGCCTGCGCTCAAGGGAGTACAGATTTAGGCTCTTTACTCGGTCCCAATAGTTTAGATGTTTTACTGAGTGGATTCTAGCAGTAAAGGATCTCTGCACGCTCTCCAGGTCAGCAATTTCTCCAGCTTTGAAAGGGGCTGTCATTGTGCAGCAGTACTCCACTCTAGAGAGCACAAGCATTTTGAAAAGTATCATCATCGGTATAGCATCTCTAGTGTGAAAAGTTCTTGTTATCCAACCTGTCATTTTTCTTGCAGTTGTGACGGCTACTTTATTGTGTTCTTTAGAGGTAAGGTCTTCCGACATGAGTACACCCAGATCCTTTACATTGCCTTTTCTTTCTATGTTATGATTTGCCTGAGTTTTGTACATGGTTTCCGTTTTTATATTTTCATTTTTTCCATAGCGCATGAGCTGGAACTTGTCTTCGTTAAACACAATATTATTTTCTGTAGCCCATAGAAAGACCTGATCTACATCTGACTGGAGGTTTGCGTGTCCTCTATGTTGCCTACTCTCATGAAGATCCTAGTGTCATCTGCAAAGGATGATACAATGCTATAGGTTGTGTTCTAGTCTATGTCCGATATGAGGATGAGAAAAAGTACTGGAGCAAGCACAGTACCCTGGGGGACTGAGCTCTTCACGGTTGATGGGCTGGATTTTATTTTGTTGACTATTACACATTGGGTTCAGTTGGTCAGGAAATTGTAGATCCATCTGCCTATTTTTCCGGTAATTTCTTTTGAACGCATTTTATGTGCAATAACACCATGGTCACATTTATCAAAAGCTTTTGCGAAATCTGTGTAAATTACATCAGCGTTTTGTTTGTCTTCCATAGCATCTATTGCCATATCATAGTGGTCCAGCAACTGCGACAGGCAAGAGCGCCCTGTTCTGAAACCATGTTGTCCGGGGTTATGGAGATGCTGTGATTCCATGTATTTTGTGATCTTACTTCTTAGCACTCTCTCAAAATTTTTTATGATGTGTGATGTTAGTGCTATCGGTCTGTAATTTTTTGCCTCTGCTTTATTTCCTCCTTTATGAAGTGGTGCTATCTCTGCTGGTTTTAGTATATCAGGAATAACGTCAGTATCTTGGCTTTGTCTCCACAGAATGTGGAGGGCCTGCGATAGTGTTTTTTTATAGTTCTTGAT